GTACAGGGCCTCCCTCCCAGGCTCTCACCACCTGCCTCCTCTGCTGCAGCGACCCTTCCTGATAAGCAGTGTGGCAAAATGGAAAGATCACTCGGTGTCAGGAAGCCTTGGGTTTGAATCTCAGGTCTTCCCTTCCTTGGGCCAGCCACTGGACTCTCGAAGCCTCCATTTCCAGGCCTGGAAAATCCCCTTCACCCTGCGCAAGAGGCAAGCCCAGGAGGAGCCCTGTGTTAAATCGTTGTCAGCAAGCTGCCTCTGAGTCAGGGTTTCATGCGTGGCAAAGCAGCTACCTCGCTGTGAACTATTGAAAAGCCAGCCTTTGACACAAGCAGCCGCCTCTCACCGACAAAACGGGGCTGATGATGATAATGTCTACCTCACAGGGCTGCCGAGGGAAGCAAATGCAACTGCGTGTGCAGAAGCACTTCGGGAACTGCACGGAGCCTGCCCGGTGAGGTGGTGCTGTCACTCCCAGAACATGATAGCAAGTGGCAGGGTGGGCAGGGCAAGGCCGAGAGCTGAGATAATCTCTGGGAGCAGGCCTGGAAGCCGAAGGGACTGAATGGGGCCAGGACCTCGGTGGTGTCTGCAGGTGGAGACTGGTTTTGTTCGCTCTTGTGTCCCCAGAGCCTGGCCCAAGACTCGGCCATGTATATCGCTGGTGCTCAATAAGTGTGTGTTGGACTCATGCCTGAGTGAACAGAGACTAAAAGCAAGACCGTTCCCAGACCTGTTCTCCACACCCCCTGCTTCCATGACATTCTATCACAGAGCTCTACTCCCCACCCCCAAGGTCAGAGGTGCTTAACTGGAAGTCTGTGGATCCCCTCCAAAATTTTAGGCAGAATGTAGTATGCTTCTGAAGATGTGTCTTCCTGAACTGAACTTCAGCTCTCTGCCCAGAAAAAATTTTCAGGGCAGCCCCGGTGGCACAGCGGTTTAGCGCCGCCTGCAGCCCAGGGCGTGATCCTGGAGATCCGGGATCAAGTCCCGGGTCAGGCTCCCTGCGTGGAGCCTGCTTCTCCCTCTGCCTGTGTCTCTGTCTCTCTCTCTCTCTCTCTGAATACATACATTTTTTAAAAACTTAAAAAAAAAATTTCAGTACACCCTGCTCTGAAAGATAAAGCATCTCCCAGGTGCTCAGTGAATACGCACATCCCTTGGATTCATCTGGCCCCCAGGGCTGCCAGGTGCCCTGTGGATTTCAAAACAAAACAAAACAACCATTCTCCCTGAGATGTGCATACAGGGCCTACCAGCCTGCAGTTTTTCTTCAACCCCCAGAAGGTGCCCGGCCATTGACAATGCCATCTTTCCTACAGAAGGCTGATGATCACGCATCATCAGGGGGGCCCGTCTTCAGAGTGGCTGTTACACCGTAGTGGGGGGGGGGTCACAGAGCTGTGTACACTGTCTCACTCTTCCCATTCCCCCCTTGTGCATTTAGGTGTGATAGGTGTGGTAGTCAGAGCCTAGAAATCTAGGAGTATTAATGAGGTCTCATGGTGTCTGAACTCAGAGCAGTGATCCCTTCTTTTAAATATATTTTTACTGTAAATAAGTACGTGTGTATGTGTGTGTATATGTGTGTGTGTAGACACATGTGTTTATGCATCTGCTTATCATCATACATACGTATGTATATGTCTATTGGAGAAATTTTTTAATGTATAAATAGTGAAAAAAATCGGTTCTCATCTCCCCTGCCTCCAAGGAACTACTGTTAACACCTGGCTTCTGTTCTTCCCATGTACCATGTACAACATTTATCGAGCACTTACTGTGTGCCAGGAGTTTGCTGTGCTACATACCTCCCAAATACTATCTGACATTAACTTCTCATCCTACATTGGGTATTTGTCACCTTATCATATGCACATTTATACTTTCTTAATTTTTAAGGCCAAGAAGATTGTACTGTTTTGTCACCTTGCCTTTCTCCATACCGTCAGAATTTCCTTCCATGATATTAAATATTCATTTACAGAGTCTTTTATAACAGCAGCATGATGTTTTATTGCAGGCAGGTTCCACGCTCCTTAGACTGGGGTGCGTGTACCCCTGAGGGCAAAGTCACAGGATAAATCGTATCACATTTTCCTGAAGGAGAAATCTGATTCGAAGCTTTGGGAGGGGAGAAAGCCCATTATTTTAATATCAAAACGAGGACAGATACACCACAGCATAGAACAGAGAGCACCCATGAATTTTAAAACAAAGCAGAGAAGTCCAAAATCGTGTGAGCTTGCTGCTAATCCCCAAAGACCCAGGTCCCCTCTCCTCTGAAGATGGAAGAACTAGAGCTTCAGAGGTACCAAGTTCTAGTTCAAACCCCTCTTTCTACAGATAAGGAAACTGAGACGCAGGGAGAAGGCGGGATTGCCTAAGGTCCACAGTGCATGCAGTCCGGAGCCACACCAGGTGACCTCTGGGCCCTGGACCCTTCCCACCCTTCCAAATTTGTCATCACCCTTGGACTGCTTTTTCTGAGGGTGTGGGTGGAGACCTTGCCACTTGAGCAATCAAGCCTCTGCGTATCGAGAACGGAAACTCCAGGCTTCCTGCATGATCCATCCTTAGCAGCAGCTTTTCCTTTTTCACCTGTCTGGCCAGGATCTGAGCTGTCTCTTCATGTCAGCAATGAGGCCCTACATGGGCAAGAATGGGTAACCCTAAAAAGTGACTCCACCAGCACTTGGATTTTCCACTGAATGCACTGGATTATGAGCATGTATCCACTGATCTGTCTTACCCATGAGACTGGGAGCCTTTTGAAGGCAGGAATTACGTGCTAACATTATAATCGGACATTTACTGAGCACCTGCTAGACGCCAGGTGCCATGCTGAGTGTTTTTTATTGATAGAATTTACAGTCTTCATCACAGCTTTTCAGGGAATGTATGATCATCGCCATTTGGTAAGAAAGCTGATGGCAAGTTAGCACTGGCCTACCATCAGGCACTCATTTGGTATCAGTATTTATTGCAGACTTACACGTCAGGACTTTGCTAGATGCTGTGGACAGTTGTGATGAACAAAACTGACTCCACTCCTGCCCTCGTGGAACTTACAGACAAGTGGGAGAGATGATACTCAACAAATAATTTTACAAACCACAGCCCATGTAATGTAGACCCGAGCCCATCTCCCTGCCTCAGTTTGAACGCACCTCGATGACTCATTAGCTAGCTGACCTGGGGAGAGTCTTGTACCCTCCCTGCATCTCATTTTCCTCTTCTATCGAATGATGGTAATCGTCGTGCTGATTCCATAGGAGTACCGTGAAGAGTGAAGACATTCACGTATAGAAAACACTCAAAGCAGGGCCTCGGACATTCCAGATGTATTATTGCTGCCGTGGTACGGGGAGGCAGGCAGTGCTAGGCGAATATGACAGGGGAGGACGGACTTCAGGTGACTTCTGACTTGAGTTCCGTAAGGTGAAGAGGAGTTAGCTTGACAGAGTTGGGGGGAGTGGGCAGGGGAGGAGAGCAGGAGGTTGGAGGGATGTTCCAGGCAGAGGGAATAGCAGGTGCAATACCAGGAGGTGGGCAGGCGGTGCAGAGCAAGTAGGGGAGCTCACCTGGGGAACTGCAAGGAGTGTGGCTGGATCACATCACATGGGGAGCTGTAGCAGGTCAGCATCTAGGAGGATACAGGTGGCACTGTCACCAGGACCTGCGCCCATTGCACCACAGTGGTGATCCAGGCTCAGTAAGATGCTCCCTAAATGTCCAGGAGGCAGACAAGTGGAGAAAAAACTCTCAGCTCTGAGCATCCTGTTGTCACCCAACTAGAACAAAAAGAGTCCATTGTTCGTTTACACAGAGCGGTGCAGACTGCTCCATCCTCACTGTCAAGCTGTTTGCATATCCATTTTGCTAGTCCCTCTCTTCTTGGCAACAGTCAGCTGTGTGGGCTCCAGTGGGGACCTCCAGCATCTGGGCTCTGGTAGGGACCTCCAGCATCTGGGCTCCAGTGGGGACCTCCAGCACCTGAGCTCCAGTGGGGACCTCCAGTATCTGGGCTCCGGTGGGGACCTCCAGCATCTGGGCTCCAGTGGAGACCTCCAGCATCTGGGCTCCGATGGGGACCTCCAGCCTCTGGGCTCCGATGGGGACCTCCAGCCTCTGGGCTCCGATGGGGACCTCCAGCCTCTGGGCTCCGATGGGGACCTCCAGCCTCTGGGCTCCGATGGGGACCTCCAGCATCTGGGCTCCGATGGGGACCTCCAGCCTCTGGGCTCCGGTGGGGACCTCCAGCTTCTGGGCCTCATCAAAGTGGATGCTGATAGAATCGCTGAGGCCAGGGCCCCAGATCTAAGCCAGTGGTGTTCACACAGTTTTCATAGTGGAACCCCGTGTTGGAATCATCTCAGAGGGAACCCAGGGCATGGCATGGGGACAAGCAGAGCTTCCACACCGAGGTCCCTGAGCGCTTGGCAACACCGGGTGCACCTGAGAAACAGCAGGGCTCTGTAGAATAGTAAGGAAACCAAGGGTTGAGCTGAACCTCTATTTCCCGGGTATGGAAACGGAAGCCCGGAGAGGGGGTGACTCTCCCAGGGTCCCACCACTAGGGACACACCCAGAGCTAGACCTGAGACCTCCGATACCAATTCTGCTGCACCAGGGCTTTCCTCCACGCCGCCCTACCCGCCCCACGGCGTGGGGGCCTTGACGTGGGGAAGGGGCGCACGGCCGGGATCTTGTCCAGGGTCCGGCCTCCGGCCCCAGTCAGGGTACAGACCCCACGAGAGAAAAATCTGGAAGGCAGGCGTGGGAGGGCTGCTCGGGGTCACGGCCTGGTTACGCCGTGTCTTTTTTTCCTCTCTCTCTCTTTCAATTGAGTTTGAGGTGGTTGTTTTTTGTTTCCTTAAGAAACGGGAAAGAACGAAACTGCGTAAACACGGCGGTGTTAGCTCCCTGAAAAGCCTCCTGCCATTTTAACTCTGTTACTGGAGAAATAAAAGAGAACTAATTTGTCCACCCACACTTAGCTCTTTCTGACGAGGGTAGGTGAATGTTGCTTTGCTAATCGACGGTGACGGCTGGAAGTGGAGCCGCGCGGACCGATCCCACACTGAGACGGAGCCGCGGGTCGCCGGGGCCCCAGTCACCGGGCGCCTGTCCGTCCGCCTTCCGCAGCTCTGCCCCAGCCGGTGGTGATGGCGACGCTGGACCAGGCCGAAGGGCTCGAAGGGCTCGTGGACCCGCAGCGGGAGATGCCGCCGCCCCCGCCGCCCTCACCGCCACCCCGAGGCGCCGGCAGCCACCCCCTCAGCGGCAGGGGCAGGAGCGGCCTGTGCCTGTTGGCTGCCTCTCAGCTCCTGGTAAGGCGAGGGCAGGTGCGGGGACAGCCCTTCCGTCGCCCCCAAGGCGGCCACCTGGGGACGGCGGGGGGCGAGGGGCCTTCCGGGTGTCCCTCCGGGACTCCAGGCCCTCGGGCCGGTGTGCAGAGGAGGCCACGGCCTCCGGCCCCCGTAGCTGAGACCCTCAGGCCGCCTTCCCTAGCCCAAGACGCGGGGCCCTGCACCGCCCCAGCGGCCGGCCTGCGGGGGTCTCTGGGAGGACTTCCCGTCTAGGGAGAGATCAGATCTCTGGGGAACTTGGCCTTTTATGTCGTGCCTGGTGGGCAGGGGGGTCCCCTCTGGGAAGGGCTTGATCTTGGCTCCCTCCGGTCAGCTCCTCTCCAGGGAGAGTCCTGAGGCCTTCTCTGCACCCAGAGTTCCCCGGGCTCTTCCCTCAGCTGTGCAGTCTGGACCTTGGGGGGGGGGTTGGGGGCAAGTTGAGGCTGCAGGGGGAAGATGGGGGCAAGGAGCCCAAGCTCCAGACTCAGTCCGTCATCCCCCCTGGCTGCCCCAGCTTGCCTGCGGGGTCCTCTGGCTCAGCGGCTACGGCCCCATCTGGTCACAGAATGCCACAGACCTCCTCTCCTCCTCGCTCACACTCCTGGGACAGCTGGGACCCATGGTGAGTAAGCTCCAGGGAGAGCCAAGGTAGGAGGGAACGACGGGACCCCTCCAGGCCCACCAACCCCTGGATGGGGCTCGTCTGAGTTCAGAAGATACATCCACACCCCTGAAACCCCTCACCCTGCTCCCCACGCACGCCTGGTCGGCAGCTTTCAGAGCCTCGGTTTGTCACCGTAGGAATGGATGAGAACTATGTCCCCACCACACCACCACCCTGACCTGTTTGTCTCATGTTCTCCAGGCCCGGCTGGGCGCTGGGACCTGGGAGGTCCCCAATCTGCTGCTGGTTACTCTGTCTGTGATCCTCATTACCACCCTGGTAAGGTGCCCCCTGACCTGACCTCAGCGCTCCCCTCCTCTGGGAGGGGAGTCCCGGTGCCCACCAGCTCCCATTTGATCCCCCCACTAGATGTTTCAGGTCGGGGCAGGGACAGGCTGTCTGTCTCCTTCCACCAGTGTGCTCACAGCCTGGGATGAGGGGCACCTTCTTCTTGAAAATGGGTTTGTGGTGTCCTAGGCTGTTGAAGACTCCCGTAGCAGCCCCACATCCCACCAAAAAAACCTCAATCCACACGAAACTGAGGGTTGGGAGGAGGGGGCAGGGGGGAAGGTAGGGGCTGGAACCTCCCACCTAGGTGAAGGGCAGTGGCATGCAGGCAGCTCCCAGGGGAGCAGGGCTGCTCTAGAGTGAGGGGGCTCAATGTCATGGACACCCCATCACCCGGGGACCAGCCAGCAGATGCCAGGTCCATGATACTATATCTCCCCAACTAGGTGTGGCACCTCCTGAGGGCTCCCCCAGAGCCATCCACCCCACTGCCCCCTGAGGATAGGCGCCAGTCAGTGAGCCGTCAACCCTCCTTCACCTACTCAGAGTGGATGGAAGAGAAGGTCGAGGATGACTTCCTGGACCTGGACCCTGTCCCTGAGACTCCTGTGTTTGACTGCGTGATGGACATCAAGCCTGAGGCTGACCCTGCCTCACTGACCGTCAAGTCCATGGGTCTACAGGAAAGGTGAGAGGGTGGAGGAGGGGTGGGCTCTGTGGGCTCCCGAGCTTTCAGCTCCCCAGCGGAAGGGCAGGTGCCTGACTCTGACTCCCAGTGGCCAGGACAGAGCTGGCCTCATGGTTTAGCCAGTGTAGACAGACACATGCTCCTCAGGTCGGATTCACGTAGATCAGAATGCCCCAGGGAGGGTAAATGCTGTTACTGCACGCGAGCCCACAGGCATGCACATGCGTACGTACTCACACGTTAACTCCTATACCCAAGTAAGTTTGGGTAGGTTCCTGTATTACAGGACTTGTCAGGGCCTTTAACATACTTGTGTTCATCGTAAATCAGCAAGGGGGTAGCATAGCATGTGGCATTCCTCAAAGTGTTGACACAGACCCCTACTTTTAGAAAGTGTCCCATAGTGTTCCCTAGAGTGTACATTGGGAGGCGTCAGCACCTTCTCCTCTGAGCCTCGCTGGGTAAACCAGATGCACCAGGTTTGCGTTATTCCCACGATGTCATGGAAGAAGCACTGGATGAGGAGTCAGAAAACCTAGCTTTTTGTTTCAGGTCTCCCATCCCCTTACTGTGTGAGCTTGGGCAATTCTTGTCCTCTGTCTGGGACTCAGTTTCCTTTTCTATACAGTGAGGGGCTTTTCAGCTGTTCTGTGTCTTTAGTCACTGGACATGGTGGAGCTTGTCTTGCGCAGACACCCGCCGCCGCTGTGGTGCCCCAGGACTCCCCCAGGACCTCCCCTTCCCCTGGCAGCCGAGAGGCCTGGCCCCTCCCGGGTGAGATGGCCGGGACTCGTCAGCAGCCCCATCCAGGACCGGTGGGTGGGACCGAGGCTGGGTGCGGAGTAGAGCCCTGCTTCTCTGCTCTGCGTAGGTGCTCCCCACCCCCCCACCCCCCACCCCCCGCTCGTGACGTCCTGGGGCCCCGGGGCTGGGAAGTGCCTCCAGCGGTGACAGAGGACAGGCCAGGGAGGACTGTGTTGAGATTGCCTTGGATGGAACCGCTGGAACTGGGGCCCCAGGGCCCCCTCAGTTAGTGACTCCGCTGTAGGGGCCAGGAATCGGGGAGTCAGTCAGGCCTACATCTCGGAGCTGAGACCCACGTTCCCCAACCAGTGGAACTGTCACGCTCCCACTGCTCCTCTGGGTGCCACCCTGCTCCCACCCTTGACCCCTCCCTCCTCACGCCCCCACCTCTGAGACTCGCTCCCCTCTCCCGGTCCTTCCAGGAGGGGCTCCAACGTCTCCCTGACCCTGGACATGTGCACACCAGGCTGCGGTGAGGAGGGCTTTGGCTACCTCATGTCCCCACGTGAGGAGTCGGCCCGCGAGTACCTGCTCAGCGCCTCCCGGGTCCTGCAGGCCGAGGAGCTTCACGAGAAGGCCCTGGACCCCTTCCTGCTGCAGGCAGAGTTCTTTGTGAGTCCCCCCAGGGCCAGCCACCCACAGTGGGCGGACCTTGCTGCTCACGTCGATCATGCACTAGCCGGGCAGTGGTGTGGGGTGTCCAGCACCCAGCACCCGAGTGACTGACGTCGCTTCCTTACTAGCTCTCCCACCATCTTGGGCAAGCTGCTTCCCCCCTGAGCCTCAGAGGGGCTCTTTCCAGGTTCCTCATAAGGAAAATGGGGATAAAAATCATTGGAATGTTGCAAGGATTAAAGATACGGCTGAGGTGTGCAGGGGACGCAGCCAGGTGATAGGAATCTGGTGGCCTCCCCGCGTCCTTACTGCCCAGCACTGGGCTTTGGGAGTGGTAGAAAGCCTTCCTCCGACTCTCCTCTTTTCCCTCCCTCCTCCTGCCCGCTATCTCCGCTATCTCCACTATCTCCAAAACGTTGCTCCTCCTCTGACATCTCTCCAGTCACCTCCCCGCCAGACCTCCGCGAGAGCCTCAGCTGCCTCCTGTTGGGCCCCGTAAATGACCTGCCTGCTTTACCTGCCTGAGCACCCAACCAGTGATTAGCTAGGACGTAGGAGATGACAGTGTCACCTTTATTTTGGTTGGTAAAGGCTAATTTTGAAGTGAGGCCTAGGTGCGTAGCAATAGTGAGCTTCCTAATACTGACCCCAAGAATCCACAAGTTTTCTGCCCACCTCAGGGGGTGCACCACTTGCCCCCTGAGGGTATCCCTGTATTTCTTTCTCTGCAGGAGGGTCCCCAAAGGAGGAGGAAGGAAGGAAGGAAGGGGTTTGGGCCCAAGAGTGTGCTCCTCACTCAATCTCACCATCTGCCACCAGTCTGGGTGGGAGAGGGCAAGAGGCCATGAGTCTTTGGGGACAGTCCCTCCTGGGAGAAGTCAGGGGGATGGGGAAGCCATGTGCCTCCCTCGGCTTCCCTTGCCCAGGCCACCTGGCCTCCTACCTGGCCCGGATGGCTGTTTCCTCTGAGAAAACCTCTGCTGCCCTCCGACCCACCGCTCCACATTCTTCAGGGCTGGGCATGGTCTGTCTCACCCGAGCTGGGCTAGCCGAGCCTCCTTTTTCAGCCATGTGCCCCCTCCCCTACAGGGACTGTCCACTTCAAACTGGACTACCACCTCCCTCCACCCCCAGGCCTTTCTCTTCCCCACCTCTACTCACATCCCCCCACCCCCACCCCGCTGGATGCTTCCAGAAAGCCTTTCTCAACCACCCCAGCCTCAGCTTCGCTGCGTGTTCCCACCACCCTCACCTCCCTGGTGTTTCCTGTTCAATAGCTGATTGTTGATTTTGCCCAGAGACCAAGGAACACAGCCTGCGCCCTCACTCCATGGGCACTTTTATACACATTGCCTTTTGGGGAATGGGAGGGTTAGGGGTTTTTTTTGTGGGGGTTTTTTGGATTCTCATAATAACCCTAGAAAATTAAGTGTTGTGATCCTTAACGCCCATACTTAACTATGTCCAAAAACTGTGGACGTTGTGAAACTGGAGTCAGGTGCTGAGCGATGGGGACAGGTGGAAGGGGGGGTGAAGAAGCCAGAGGCACTGGGGAGTCACCCCCATGAGCAGTAGGGAGGGGGCAAGAGGTGAACTTAAAAGCTGGGAACTGTTTGGACAGATGGAGAAGGGTGGGACCAGCGCTCCCGACCAGCAGAGGGTCGGAAGGAGTGCGGGGAGCTCAGACCAGGAGGCAGGGTGGCCGGGGAAGAGACTGGCCTGTAACCAGAGAGCAGCCCACGGTGAACAAAGACCAGATCCAAGGCGACATCACTTGGCCAGGCAGAGAGGATTGGATTTGGGGCTTTTGACACAGAGTTGTGATTGGAAGGCACAAGCACATCCTTGAGGGGCTCAGAAGGAGGCTCCTTTCCTGCTGGAGAACGAGGGAGGGCTTCTTGGAGGAGAGGGTGCTTAAGGTGGACAGGACAGAGGAAGCGGAGGATGGGGTGGATGTTTCCACAAAGGGAGCAGCACAGCCCGAGCCCCTGAGGCCAGACCCAGGTCAGCGAAGCCTCGAAGGGAGGGGGATGGAAGGCAGTGATTGGCCAGGTCACTTTTTCTCTTGTTCCCTGTTCATCAGCCGTTTATGGAGCATCTACGAGGTGCCAGGCTGGCCCCGGGGCAACGGTCGTAATAACGGCATTTATTATGCACTCACTAGGTGCCAGGCACTATTCTTAATGCTTCTCCTGTGCACTGACTGGTTTAATAGTACACGTTCACTGAAGGAGTGCGTGCACTCAAGCACACGCCTGGACTAGAGGTTAGAGGCACACCAGTGCCTGGATCCCGACGCCTGTGAGAGCCGGCCCACCGCGGCTAACGCCCCCATGTCCTCCTCTGGCAGGAAATCCCCATGAACTTTGTGGATCCGAAGGAGTATGACATCCCCGGGCTGGTGCGCAAGAACCGGTACAAAACCATCCTGCCCAGTGAGTACTCACTGCCCCCGGGGCGTGGGGTGCACCTCCCCTGGGAGCCCCTCGCCCTGAGGAAGACCTCAACCCCGGAGCTAGGCCTCGAGGTCACGAGGAGAAGGGAAGGAGGGCTGGGGGCACCCGGGGAAGGGGAAAGGCCCCCGTGGTGAGGGCAGAGCTGAGCTCACAGCTTCACCCTTGGCCTCCCTGGCTGTGCTTGGCTCTGGAAACCCGGAGAGAAAGAATGACGACAGTAGCAGCTCCCAGACAGTGCCCAGTGACCCCAGAGTGTTTTCACGCTCTTTCTCCCTGCAGAGTGGGCGGGCGGCTAAGAGGGGAAAATGAGGCTCAGAGAGGTAGAGTCACACGGCTAGGAAGGACAGAGCTGAGTCTCACCCTGGGCCTCTTTGACCCCGGAATCGGGCTCTTCTGTGTACCTTGAGTGGAGTTTGCTCAGACTGGGAGTCCTCTGACAGGAAGAGCCACCCCACAAGGGCATGAGGTGCCGGTCAGCTAGTGAGCTCCCCGTCACTCAAGGTGTTCAAGTGAAGCTGCGTGATCAATCCCCTGGCAGATCTGAGAGGGATTTTTTCCCCCTTTGAGGGCAGTCAGACCAGGTGACCTAACGTTCCTCTTTCAGCCCTGGGGTGTCATTTTCAGCTAACTTTCATCAGGCCCCTGTCTGCCTGTCACCCCTGCCCAGTTCTGGCCCCAGGCCCCCCCCCCGGGCTAGCTTAGGGGGTGACTTGTTGAAAGCGAATCCCCACCAACCTACTCCACTCAGTTTGTGGAGTAACGAGGCTTTAAAAAAGCAGTTTTGCCATCAGCATCTCCAACAACATGTAAGATGTCATGACTTATTTTTAACTTTTAAAATATCGACTTGTGGTTGCCATGGTTACACAGTCTCTAGGTAGTTCCGGTTAAACAAAGCACCATTTAAGGCCAGGATGCGTTCTTCAGGGCTGCTCACCTCCTTCCTCATCTTGTCACCCTCCAACCACCCAGCCCCACCTGGAGGGGCTCAGGCACCCCAGAACCTAGGGCTTGGCTGGTCACTCGGAATGGCCACCGGGGGTAGGGTGGGGGAGCCAGGCCACCGCTCCGCCTGGCTCCCCCTGGACGGCTGAGAGGTCCTGAGCTGCTTCAACTATGCGCTGAGCCTGCGAGGGCCTGGAGCTCAAGCGAGCATCCTCTGTGGCCAGCGAGAATTGTCCCTGTGCCTCAGAGACTGGGACCAGCCGGGGGTTGTATGTGTGACAAGGAGGACATGTCAGGCTTGGCACAGGCCTGCTGGATCCAGGACACCCCGAGGCTTGGTCTCTCGTTCATTTGGCACCAGTTTCCTGAACTCTGCCCCAGGGGCTGAGACTTCAGGCATGAATGAGCCACGGGGACTTCACGGTCTCGTGGGGGAAATAGACCCATGGACGGTGAGTAGGACAGAGTGACCAGTGACCCAGCTGGCAGCACTGAAGGCAAAATAACAGGGGAGCGATTTCTGTCCTTTTTGTCACCATGTCCCAAGTGCCAAAATAGTGCCTGGCACCTCGTAGACAGTCTGCTCCTATTTGAGTGAGGGAGGGAAGGAGGGAATGAATGAATGAATGAATGAATGAACGTCTCTCAGGTCAGCTCAGCCTCTCCATCCTCACTGCCGGATGACTTTTTGGGGGCCAGGGCTTGTCTGTTGCCCAGTCCCATACCACCCCTGGAGTTGTGCCAGGCAGTCGTCTCCTGACTGCCCTGCCGAGGCCCACACTCTCCCCTCCTGTCCTTCGGCTACCGTTAGCACAGAAATGGTAGAAAGCAGAAATCCAGTCGTGTCATCCTCTTCCTTAAACATTGTCACCATCCCCCTTGTAATCCTCGGGTTTTGGCCCAGCCTTGGTTTATAAGACCCTCTGTCAGTCCCTCTCCAGGCCATGTGTCTGCCCCCCCGCTCCCCCACCCCCCTGCCCTGTGCCCTGGAATCAATCACACAGACCCCACACAGCCTACCTGCCTGCCCGCCTGCCCCATACTAGGGGGCAAGGACGTGTCTCGTTCACTGAGGAGTCCCTACCCTCGAGCCCCATGCCAGGCACAGAGACCGCGTCCAGTGGGGTCATCATTCCCACAGTGGTTCTTTAGTGCCACAGGCCCTCCTGGTGTCTGGTCCGAGGGTGCTGTGCCCACTTCTGACACCTAATCTGGGCAGGCACCAAGGCCAAGAAGGGAGATGGCCCCTCAGCACGCCCTGCTCTTTCCTTCCACTGACCACGCAGCATCCCCTCCACTCACCCTCCCTCCCTCTGCCCTCCTAACACCCCTCTGTGCCCCCATCCACAGGGGCAGCCCCACCATGGGGCTGGGCATAAAAGGGCCGGAGGGCAGAGGCCTGTGAGTGTCACCTGTTTGTCCTACCCAGTTTGGGATCCTCTCTACCTGTTAACTTCTAGGGAAGCTCTGTGCCATATGGTGTGTGCAGAGCTAAGTTACTGGTCTAAGGCCAAGCTACCATTCCCTCCTTTCATCCTTACAAGACGAGTGGGGCTGTGACGGAAGGGATGTCTCCAGTTCACAGACCCACACAGGGAAAGTAAGTCAATGGTGCACACTGCTAGCAAGCCACAGCGTCAGGACTCGAACCCAGCCCTCTGGCTCCCTGTACTGTCTCGGAGAGCCCCCGGCTGTGTGCTGGAAGCTCCTTCAGTTCAGCCCTCCCTATTTAGGAAAGAAAGGGAAACCCAGAGAAGGGATAAGACTGTGAGCTGGTGACGGAGCCAGAGCAGAAGCCAGGGCCCCGGCCCCCCACCCCCACGAAGTCCCTGCCCACCCCACGCACCTTCCCCATCTCTAGGCCCAGCCTCTGCGGCCTGACCGAAGAGGCAGTTCAGGGAGGCTCTCGCTGGCACAAAACAGATTCCATTCCAGGAAGAGGAGCAGGAGGTTGTGAGAATCTGTAACTGTGGGATTGAACATGTCAGTCGATGGAGAAAAAAGAAAACACAAAACAAAAACCCTTCGTGCACGTGTGTGCGTCTGCTGCGGAGACCCTGCCATTGCGTCGCAGGTGCAGGAGGCTCGGCTCTCTCCATCCCTCGGCTCTCCCTCAGCTTTCTACCCCCAAATCTCAGCAGCCCTATATATTTGTAAAGCACTTGACGGTTTACATCGCATCTTCCCAGCTGTTTTCTCATTTATCTTCCCAACAACCCTAGGAAGTAGGCAGCTTTACCCCTGTATTTCACACGGGACAGTTGAGGCTTAGGAAGGCCGTGTGCCGTTCAGGTGGACCCAGCCCGTCAGTGACCGTGTGCACCCAAACCCTCGCTGCCCCCGCTGACTGGAATGTGTCCCCTGGGTCATCCTTTTCTTGACTTAGCTCTGTCCTCTCCAGAACATGAGGCCCAGGGAGCCCGGGGCAGCTTGAGGGACCCAGGCAAGGGGCCGGCACTCCTGCTGTGCAGGTAGACACCCAGAGCCACAGAGATAGGCCAGGGTTTTGCTCGCAGGCAGGGGAAGGAGGAACTCCAGGAGCCCCGGAGAGATGTGGGTGCCCTGCAGTGAGCCAGATGGGATGGGCCCCGCGCTAGAGGGGTTGTCGCACCTGTCACATGCCAGCCTCACCCATCTCCCCCACCCCAGACCCCCACAGCAGAGTGTGTCTGACCTCACCAGACCCTGACGACCCTCTGAGTTCCTACATCAACGCCAACTACATCCGGGTACGTAGCCCTATCCCAGTGACACCCCCCCCCCCCCGCGAAAGGGAGGCCCAAGCCAACAGGATCCGTCCTCCGCTTGTCCCTAAGCCAGCGGGGGCTCCTGCCACCCCTGCGCTCCCCGGGGGAGGGCCCGAGGGTGGGGACTGGGCCCAGGGAGCACCACATCGGACCCTGACGGCCTGAACTTGACTGGCCGCAGGGCTATGGTGGGGAGGAGAAGGTGTACATCGCCACTCAGGGACCCATCGTCAGCACGGTCGGTGACTTCTGGCGCATGGTGTGGCAGGAGCACACGCCCATCATCGTCATGATCACCAACATCGAGGAGATGAACGAGGTAGGCGCCCCTGTGCTGTTAGCAGGGGTCTGTCCTTTCCATATTAATCTCTAGAACAATGCTGAGGTTGGTAGCCTGCTGCCAAGGTGAGGGAATGGGAGGCCGGGCAAGGTTAGGCCATTTGCTCAGGGCCACGTGGGTGGGCAGAGCCTGGAGCCGGCCTCTCCACCCCCGCTGTCTGTGACCTGAAACAGGCTGCTCTGCACACCCCCGCCCCCCGCCCCCGGCTCCAGCCAGGGCTCACTCTGCCTGCGTCAGTACCCATACCAACCCATTTCATTGAATCCCCAGAAGAGTCCTTCAAAGTAGGTATTAACTTTCAATTTCCAGATGAGGCAATTGATGCTCAAAAAAGAAAATTTACAGGTTAGGAAGCTGAGATTTGAACCCAGCGCTCTCTAACCGCAGACCTGTTGCCCTTTTATGTCTTGCCCTGCTGGTCCTGGAGAGGAGGGGCTGGCGGCTGGCGGCAGGGAGCAGGGTGGGGGCGCGGGGAGTGGTAGGACTGTGAGTGTACGAAGCCTGGTCTGGGCCCCCGCAGAAGTGCACCGAGTATTGGCCGGAGGAGCAGGTGGTGTACGACGGTGTGGAGATCATCGTGCAGAAGGTCATTCATACTGAGGATTACCGGCTGCGAGTCATCTCCCTCAGGGTGAGGCCAGGGGCCGGGCCGGGCGGATGGGGGGACAGGGCCCAGATAACAGGGCCCAGGAGTGCACTACGGGTGAAATCCAGGCCTGTGTCACTCTCAGGATGTAGCAGGGAGGAGGGAGGAGGGGTGGATGACTTGGGGGCCAGAGGCAGGAGCAAATCTCAGTTGCATTTTATGCTCTCGGAGTCTCCCTGTGTCTGCACTGTCCTTGTCAATGCCTTCCAAGTCTGCTCCAGATGCATTCACGTCGGGGACTGCCTGGGTAAGGGATCCCCAGCAGCACCCCCCCCCCGCCCCGCCCCTTGCTGTCCTGACGACGGAAGGTCTGTTGTAACTTTGAGATCCTACAGTGTGCAGTGTGTCCACCAGAGGGCAGGCACTCCTCGCTGCATTTGGGTTTCACAGGGAAGATCTGTAGTATATGAGCGATACAAAAAGAGTGGGGGGAGGTATTCTCCCACCCTGAGGTCGTGCTTCTTCCAGGTTCAGCATAAGAGAGGAGATTGTTGCCTTGGAATCAGGACGATTCATGGGGTTCTGTTTTTGAGAAGGAAAACTCATATTTGGGGACGGTGGAGCCCAATGTAATAACCCCACAGGTTGCTAGGTTACCAAGCACCAGGAAGCTGAGGCTCTATGTAGAAACTGAGGTCTACTGGCACTGGCAGCCACAGGGTCGGACCCAAGGCCTGAGACTTGTCCCTCTGAACTGCCGTCTCCCACCAGAGAAGGGAGAAGGTGGGGTGTCAGGGGGCACTCAGACCCCAAACAGCAGTGCCCACCTGAGCAGCTCCGAGATCTAGGCCTTATTGGAGAGCTGGAAATGGCAGGAGGCATGGGCAGAGGTTCTAGTAGCTGTCACACCAGATAAGCTGGGGGCCCAAGGAGCCAGCTTTCTGCTTCCTAGAAAGAGGCTGAAGCCAGGTGAGGGCTGCCTCACTGTCTCAGTGCCCTGGGACAGCTTGGGGGTATTTACTTTTGTCCCTGAGTCTTTACAAGCACCTGCCTTTAAGCCTGGTTCTGGGTTGGGTATTGGGTTGGAACACAGAGCTGTCCAAAGCCTGGACTCCCCTAAAGGAGCACCCAGAGATGGTAAGTACCAAGCTAGAGATAGGCAATAAAACAAAAGAAGGGCACTCTGTTAGCCAGGGTGCTCGGGGAGGGCCTCCTGGAAGTGGTGGTACTGAATGGGGTTTTGCAGGATGAGTAGGAGTTGACTCGGTGGCAGAAGGGACAAACAAGTGGGAAGACCATTCCAGGCAGAGAAAAAAAAAAGAAAGGCATGGAAGATGGACTAGCTCTGTGTGTGTGTATATGCGTGTGTGCGTGTGGGTCTGTCTGTGTGTGTGTGTGTGTGTAGCAGAGGAGTTGTCTACAAAGCCTTTGGAATGCAGGAGCACTGAGAACGAGTAGACAGGGCCAGGAGAAGGGCCTGGAGCGCTGGACCCTGTACCTTGTCTTATTGGCCAGACTGAAGAGTAAGAAGAATGGGTTTTACTGGGAGGGAGCAGGAGCCGTGGGAGCGTTCTGAGCAGGAGAGCAGCGTGTCCAGATTGGCGCCGCGGACAGACGTGCTGGGCCACTGTGCGGATGAGCGGTCAGGGAGGACTCGGGGAGGACTGCCACACTGGAGAGATGAGAAAGGCCCGAGTGGAGGCAGTGCTGGCGGGGAGGAGAGAGAACAGACGAGACTGGGAGACGGGCCGGGGGAGGGCAGGTGGAGAAGAGGGGTGACTGATGGGAGACCAGAGGCCGGGCTCTGCGACCTGGGACTCCAGCGTGACTGGGCTGTGCCTTAGGATAAAGAACCAGAGGACGCGGGTTGGGAGAGGGACTCCGCCTCTCTCGGATGGGCCTGCAGCTGTGGGGGTAGAACCGATGGGGAGGACGGGGAGGACGAGGGCCAGCGTCCCTGGCCAGCTCCCACTGCCAAGCTGCTGCCAGCCCCTGTCCGGTGCCCCGTGCTGCAGGTGGCAGACACCACAGGTCCCACTCTCTGGGCCCCCTTGCCACGCTCTTGCTGCCCCCACCCCATCTTTGCGCCAGCTGGTGGGTGCTGCAAGTTCACGTGTATCTGGGGCGGGTCTCTGTCGCCCGGACAGAACGGGACCGAAGAGCGAGGCCTGAAGCATTACTGGTTCACATCCTGGCCTGACCAGAAGACCCCAGACCGGGCTCCCCCACTCCTGCACCTGGTCCGGGAGGTGGAGGAGGCAGCCCAGCAGGAGGGGCCGCGCTGTGCCCCCATCATCGTCCACTGCAGGTGGGTCCTCCCCACCGGCCACCTGGGCAGGGCAGCCTCCCTACTCCCGACGCTGCCCCGTTGCTTACCCCCCACGCCCCCTGTGCCCTCAGTGCAGGGATTGGCAGGACAGGCTGCTTCATTGCCACCAGCATCTGCTGCCAGCAGCTGCGGCATGAGGGAGTGGTGGACATCCTTAAGACCACGTGCCAGCTCCGTCAGGACAGGTCAGCCGGTGTGCAGGGGTGGGGGCACAGCTTGAGTCCCAGGGGCAGCCGGGGGAGCCTGATGCACACATGGGGCGAGGGGCCAGAGGACGCGCTGCCCGTGGACTGGCCGGCAGCAAGTAGAAAGGACGGATGGGTAGAGCGGGAGCTGGGTCCAGACAGCTGGGGGCTGGAGGAGGGGAAAGGGACAGCTGTTGAGCAGGACAGGGGCTTGGGGTGGAGGGGCATGTCCTCTCTGTCTCTGCTTTCGGGCCAAGCTGGGAGGGGCAGCAAGGGGCAGAGGGCAGTAGCCGCCAAGGACTGGCTCCTCCACTCAGCACAAAGACAAGGCCCCCCACAAATGCCTGGTGGTCGTGGGCTTGGGGATCACCCCCCCCCCAGAGCCCAGTAACCCCGTCTGCACCACGTGTCTCTACCCGCAGGGGCGGCATGATCCAGACGTGCGAGCAATACCAGTTTGTGCACCATGTCATGAGCCTCTACGAGAAGCAGCTGTCCCGCCCGTCCCCAGAGTGACTGCACTCCTGCCCTGGGGTCCTCTGGGCACCACCCAGCCTGAGTCGGGGCCCTCACCCTGGCCACAAGCAGAGCCCTGCCTCGGGTCCTGGCCTGCCCCTCTCCCTGACCCTCCTGCTTCCTCCTCTTCGGTCTGCACCCTCCCTCCTCCCTTCCCTCCTCCGTCAGCCTTGGCCTGGCCCCTGCTCCCCAATATAGCTCTTCCTACTGTACATACTGGGGAGTGGGGCGGGGTGGGGGAGTGATGTGCCAGGCCAGGCCTGGGGCCCCAGGGCCTGACCCATGCCACGCAGACCTGGGGCCTCAGTTTTTAACGACGGTTCCATTGCTACTTGATCCAAAACGTTTCTGTGTCGCACTCCAAATGTCCTGCCGCAGCGTGTCTGTCCGTCCATCCATCTCTGCTGTCTGTACCGGACACTGTGTCTCCTCGGCCCGGGGAAAGGGGTAATGAGCTCCAGCCCCAAAGCAGCCCGGCAGAGGTGCCTGCCTCTGGCCCCCACCCCCACGTCCCACCTGGCAGGTGGCATTTTGGTTATTGGGACCAGGATGGGGTGCTCCTGAGGAGTTGGCAGAGAGATCTCAGCTAGGGGGAGAGGTCTCTGGGTTGGGAGGGAGGAGGAGTATTATCAGAGCAGGGGTGACCTCCTGGTGTCAGATGCCCTCAGGAGGCAGTGACCAGCCTGTGAGGCCCTGGGGAGGAAAGGGGAGAGAGGGGCTGTGAACCCAGAGGACCTGGGCCCTGGTGGGGGTGGGGAGAAGGGGGAGCTCTGGGGGGGGGGTCTGGGCCCCAGATCTGTGTGAAACATTTTTCTGTGTCACTGTGGGAAAGCCTTCCCAGAAGTCTCGCTGCGTGTAGCTCTGCGTGTGTTCCTGTGTTAACGCGTGTGTTGAGAGCCCAGCAGCAGGGCATGCATGACTCTTGGCAACTTGTGTTACCTTGGAGCCACGTGTTTTTATTGCTGACTTTAAATATTTATTCCACGGCAGACAGAGACATTTGGTGTCTTTTTATAATTTGCTCGTGGTCATTGAATAGAGCAATAAACGGAGCATTTTGAGCAAAACTAGCCCCCCGGGTCTGTGTGATTGCCTCTCCCCTCGCTGCCTCCCTGTAAGCTGGTGTTTGTGTACACCCTCTACACACACACACACACACACACACACACACACACACACACACACACTCCCTGGTGCCGCCTGTGGAGATTGGAAGTGTGCACCAAACTGATTCGGGCAGGCTTCTCCTGCATCATCACCCCCAACCCATCCAGGAGCCCTGGACCAGGGGAGCCTCAAGGACAGGTGTAGGAGGCTTCCAGAGAAAACAAAGCATCTGGCCAGCCATGAGCTCTGACAGATGGGCCAGAGAGGCCAAAGCTAGGGCAGAGAGACATTTAGGTCACACCCAGGCCCCTCCCTGTTGGCCCACCCACTTATCCCATGAGCCTTACATGTCCCAACAGCAGCTGCAACCTGGAAATTTCCCTTGTAAGGCCTGGGCTGAGAGTGGCCTCTCCCAAGGGGCCCGGAGACTCTGGCCCACGGCTCAGATCCTGAGCCATCCCTGACACCCCTGCTCTATTCTTACCCCTGCCCTCAGGGATGCAGCAAAAGTAGCTGTGGTGATGCTGCTGCTGGCAGGTGGGGTCACTCCAGGGCAGGACTGCTGACCAACCAGTAGGTCCTTAAAAGGATATCAGATCTCCGTGTGGGTTGGTCGAGGGTATGTGGGTATACTACAATGAGGAAACACCCGGGAGGCGCTCAAAGAGCCGGGATGCAGGTCCCAGAGCAGGGGGGCATGCTCTCCAGCCATCCTCCAGCAGGAAGCTGGGCCCTCCCACCCTCCACCCAGATGAGAAGGATAGAGCTGTAGGAGGGGGAAAGGCGAGGGGAGCTAAGATTTCTATCTCTTCCCCCAGGGTGGCCCTGGGAGGCCACTCAAGCTGTGCAGACACTGCACACGTGGAGTACAACAACGTGAATGGTGTCCCCCGGATTTCTGCAAAATGGCAGACTTCCTTGACCCTGGCCCATGTACGTATGCATGTGTATGTGCGTGCATGCACTCGTGCGCGCGTACACACACACACACACACACACACACACACACACACACACACACTACCCGGAGCCCCGCAGCTCAGATGGGCCGCACCCACCAGCAGTGAGAACCCAAGTCTCCGCCAACAGGACCACCACGTCTGGTCTGGTCCCGGGCAGTCCCTCCAGCCCTGGCTCCAGCCACACCTCCCCCACGCCCCTCCCCCCAGAGCAGTGCGCCAATCTAGCTGGGGCAGCTGTGGAGCTCCAGTAAGGGATCGCCCCCAAGGGGCCAGACATTTAAGGAACCCGTGACTCCTGGTGGCTCCACTGTTGGGGCAAAAGAAGGAGACCGCCCGCAGATAGCCCAGGCATAACTGCACCCCCAAGGCCCTGGACACAGCATTCAGGAGTTAGGAGGAACTAATCACACAAAGGTAAGGCTCCCCTCTTTCCTCAAGAAGGGGACAGAGCCGGCTGTCTTCGGAGCCCAGAGCAGGACAGCCAGAGTAACCCAAATAGCGTGAGTGCGCTCCTTGGGGGGTCGCAGGTAGGAGCTACCCCAGGTGAGCTGTTGCACAAGGGAGACCTTATTTGCAGCAGATAAGGAGATCACGGGGAATCATTTCCAAAGCTGTGACTCCCCGAGCAAGGGCGAGTGGATTTCTTTTATTTACGGTCAGGATGCATATTTAGATAGGGGAGCCTTGTCGTGGTATGTAGAGGTGGGCATGAGGTTGCGCGTGCGCCCTAAGGAAACTGCTCATGTACGTTGTATGGTATGTAAAGGAGGCTTGTGCTGCTCCTTGGGTGGAGATTTTAGGATGGTAATAAGGTGCAGATAACTGGTTGCTCCACGGTCCATCTGCACAGGTCTGAGTCGGGAGTTGAGCTCAAACTGGTCTGGGTGGTCTGGGCCGCCCAAGCTCCTGTCCAGGCAGTCCTCACTGCTGGAGGGGTAGTTTCGGCTTCCATCACAGGATGTTGGGCCCCTCGGGTCTTTTGCCCGAGTGAAGAGATGAGCTGTGAAGAAGAGCTTAAAGGAGAATGTAGGACAAAGTTTTGATAGACAACGTTTCAGTGGGTACAAGCAGGTGAGGAGTAAAAGTCAGCTCTTGGGGTCTAGCCGGTGACAGTCTCAGAACTCAGGAGTGGAAGCAGGCAGAGATATGTCATGGTAGGTGAGATGGAAGGTGAGCCTCGAACTGCCTGGCTCAGAACCAGGCTTTTGGATCCCTCCAGGGAAGTGGGCTGGGGGTCAAGAGGCCAGGATTCTAGTCTGAGTGACCTCGAGCAGGTGATTTCTCTCAGACATCAGTGTCCTCATATATAAAGTGTGGGTGGAAAAAGTGCCATGCTGGTTAAACAAAAATGGAACATCCATTCATCAAAATGCTGTAGCTGTTAGCAAGAATGCAGAAAATCTTTATGAACTGGGATGGAGAGCTCTCCAAGATGTATTAAGTGAAAAAGAAAGGGCGGAATAGGAATACCTGAAGTGCAAAAAGAGGACGAGGATAAAAATATACTTGTATTTGCATGAAGGAGCCTGGGAAGGAGCCGAGAGGCCACAAGTGCTTACATGTGGGGGGATGATTGGGAGATGGGAGCTCAGGAGTGGGAGGGAGCCTCTTCATATAGATGTTTATATTGTTTTATTTATTAATTATGAGACTGAATTACTGATTTTTTTAAGTATAAGAAATGAAAAAAAAAAAAGAAAAGAAAGCTCAACCTCTGTCCTTTCCCAGTCACAAATGAAAGCAGAACTATGGAAACATGCTATCATCTGTCCTAGCATTCCACCGATGCCAGGGGTCCCCAGGGCCCAGGAGGAAAATGTCCGCTTCCTTCTAAGGCCTACTGTAGTATGGCTTAGTCAGGAAGTCCCTTCTTAGGTCTGACTTCATTCCCTCCTGATGAAATATTGGGCACCGCCTCCCTAGTTCCATGTAGCTATCACTCTGTATCCTCAGCTCCCCCTGGGCCTTACCCCTTGGATCCCTGGGTAAATCTAAGCCCTACATTCTCTCCCCCTGAGAGTTGGAATGGTTTGGGGTTACTTGGTGGGTGACAGGCCCACCAGTCCTCCAAACCATCCTGGGAAGTGAGATACAAAGGGAAGAAAAGAGAGGCCAGAGAGAAGAGGCTTGCTGCCCTACTTCCCCTCGCCCTCCCCTTGTGTCCGCATGCCCTGTCCCTTCACACACACACACACACACAGACACACACACACACACCACACACACCTGGATCTCTCTCCTATTCCCTTCCTTGTCCTTCATGACCTCATTCTCTCCCTGGTCCTCCAGGTGAGTGCCCACGCCTGCTGTCACCATGACGACCATTCACCACCAGCAGCTGCTGCAGGAGCACGTGTCCATGGAGTTCTCGAGCTCCACCACCCACGTGCAGACCTTCTCCCAGACAACCAAGATCGTGGGAGGCAAGTAGACTGGGCGGGAGGGGGGATCGGGAAAGGGCAGCCTTTCTTCCTCTGCATCCACCCCCTGGGGGCGGCCTCAGTCTCTGTGAGTACTGGGCCCCTCAGGAGCCCAAGGTACAAAGAGCAGCCCTCTCCTAACCTGTGCTTTGATAAAGCTTCAGCCCCTGGGATGTTCACCCACAGATCAGATCTTCTGAGAAACAGCTTAGGAAAAGCCAATCACGTGAATGTGTATGAGCGACGGAGGAGCTTCATTGCTTGAGGAGATCAGAGCCGTAGGCTAATGGATGTATCTCCGATGGCCGACTTTCGGGCACAGAGGAAGCTAGGGAAGTAGGTACCGTCCTAGGTGTGAGTAATGCTGACCCTGCTCCACTTAAGAAACAGGAGATTTGGAGCTGCCAGTGCAGAGAGGATGAACACATAAACAAGTGACCTAAGCTTCCAGGCTGTCAACCCTTGGGGACCAGGCTTGGGGGAGAGCAGATCCAAGGGAAAGCTGAGAAATGGTCTCAGAGCAGAACAGATTGTTTTAGTCATGTCTCTAGTGGAAAGTGATTAAAAGATGGCCAGGGGCCAGGATATCCAATATCTCCTCCCTGGTCACTGCCCCTCCCTCAAAGTCCTGGAGGGGCCGAGTCCCCCAAACTGCTGTGTGCACAGGGGTCAGGGCCAGATGAACGCTCTATACCAACTCCTCCCGGACAGCAAGCCAGGGCAAGTGCAACAGCTGGGACTCAAGACCAGAAGTTGCAAACTCAAGTGATTATAGCAGTGATTCTGAGCCCTGGCTGCACAGTAGAATTATCTTAGTGCAGCAGGGAGAGAGGAAGGGGAATGAAAAAATAGCAATACATAAGTCTGGGGTGTGTGTGTGTGTGTGTGTGTGTGTGTGTGTGTGTGTGTGTGTGTGTTTCCAGCTCTCCAAAGATTCTAACACTCAGCCAGAGTTTAAAACCACTGGCCAGCAGGGTCCAGGCAGGGAATGTAAATGCAGAAACAAGACTAAGGGAACCACAGAGGACATGCCCCACCCACAGAGGCCCCCACTATTCACCACCCACTGACTGTTGTCCTATAGGGATTATGAGCTCAGTGATGAGAATCCAGAAACCTGTCTTTTTATGTGAAATCTCTTAATTTTTAGATATAGGGCTACTTTTGTTTAACTGTCGAAGAGATCAAATAAAACACATCTGCAGGTCAGGTGCAGCCTGCACACTGCTTCCTGCCTGCTACTTAAAAGCAGGGCTTCTTTTTTTTTTTTTTTTTTAAGATTTTATTTATTTATTCATGAGAGATACACAGAGAGAGGCAGAGACACAGGCAGAGGGAGAAGCAGGCTCCCTGTGGGGAGCCTGATGTGGGACTCAATCCCAGCACCCTGGGATCAGGACCTGAGCTGAAGACAGATGCTCAACCACTGAGGACTAAAAGCAGGGCTTCTTAAGACATTTTTTGCATCTCAGTCCTTCAGATTAGTCGTGATAATAGAGGCACCTACTTCACTGGGGTATTGTGAGGATTAAATAAAATAACCTCTGAAATGTGTTTAGCACAGTTCCTAACACAAGAAGAGTACTCTGTGAATCAGAGCAATTGTTTTTAACTGTCAGCTCAGGGGCCAACACGATTTTTGGTAGTGTATACAGCAAATACAACTTTTCATTTTCCAAATACAGAGTGACCTTCCCACATTGAATACGCTCTCTCAGATAAGGAGATTTCCACTATGGCCCCCCTGGAGTGGGAATGTGTCCTGTTCCTCACTCAAGAATCATTACTACTCCCATTGCAATCACTGCAGAACCACAGAGGGCAAAGGGGGAGGCCCTGCAGCAGAACTCAAGTAAACTATCAGGCCTCCTGAGCAGAGGGCCCCTGCCCCTCTTAACACTATTGGGGGACAGACCTTCTAGGAGAGAAGCCCAAGAGATCAAGAAACACCCCCCCCAAAAAAAAGAAGTCTTTTTTTTTTTAAATTAGGGGGCACCTGGTTGGCTCAGTGCTTTAGGCGTCTGCCTTCGGCTAGGGTCATGATTCCAGGGTCCTGGGATCGAGCCTCGCCAGGGGCTCCCTGCGCAGCGGGGAGTCTGCTTCTCCCTCTTCCCCTTGCTTGTGCTCTCTCTCTTTCAAATAAATAATAAAATCTTAAAAAAGAAAAAAAAAGGACCCAATAATGTGGTCCAATAAAGGTAAGAGGGGTTGGCTCCCCCTGGTGCTTGGAATTTGCCCTAACACAAGGGCCCCTGACTCCAGTCCTTTCCGGGCCCAAGGCCCCGCGCTGGCCTCCAGACAGGGCCCGGGAGCAGAGATGGGCCCTCGGAGCCGGCCGAGCTCCGCCTGGGGCCCCTTCTGACCTCTCACCTGCCACCACAGAGGAAGTCGTGACAAGCAAGTCCTCGAGCACCGTAGAGTTCTTCAGCTTGGTCACTCGGAGTTCTGACATCCCTCCGGGCGAGAGCATCCCAGAGTTCGTGGAGAAACCCCACCCGGTCACCGCGTCCGAGGGTGCGCACTCCCCGTGGCGCCCCCACACCCCTAAGTGCTTCCCGTTCGTCTCCCAGTGCCCCCACCAGCACCCCCCCCCACCAACCCCCACCTCTGGGCCCCACCAGCACCCCCCCCACCAACCCCCACCCCTGGACCCCACCAGCACCCCTCCCACCAACCCCCACCCCTGGGCCCCACCAGTACCCCCCCAACCCCCACCCCTGGGCCCCACCAGCACCCCCCCACCAACCCCCACCCCTGGACCCCACCAGCACCCTCCCAACCCCCACCCCTGGACCCCACCACTGGGCTGCGCCAGGCTGAGGGTCCCTCCCTGCCCAGGGCGGAGGCAGGGTGCGGGCAGGAGGTCGGCCTGGAGGTGAACTTGCGTCCCGCGCCCACTGCAGGGGATAAAGCCGTGTTCCGAGCCCGGGTGCAGGGAAACCCCAAACCCAACATCTCCTGGAAGAGAGAGAGCGGCATCCCCATCAAGGAGTCGGCCAAGATGTTCTACGACAGCATTAACAAGGAGCACGTGCTGAAGGTGCGGGGACCCCAGCCTGAGACGCAGTTAGGGATGAGGCCAGAGGCAGGGACCCAGGGCATGCCGCAGCCCCCTCGTGGATCAGAGGGCCACGGGGCGGCCCCAGAACCGGGCCATGGGACATGAGGCTGTCACTGGCCGAGAGGAGGGGAGGGTAAGAGAAGCCGGGTCGGGAGCTGGGGCCTTGCTAGAGTGAGTAGGGTAGGGGACCAAAGTCAGGGGCATGGCCAAGGAGAGCTGGGCAAAGCCCAGGAGGGGCAAGCCCACCAGGAAGAGATCCAGCTGTTCCAGAGGTGAGAGCCAAAGGGAAAATGAGGCCAAGCGTGTGGGCGCGGCTAGACGGGGCGGGGCGTGGTGGGAGGAGGGCCGGCTAAATTGGGGCGGACAGGGACAGGGGGAGGAGCTGAGCATAGTGTAGGGGTGAGGCTCAGGGGTCCTGGGCCCTTCAGGGGAGCCTTCCAGAAGATGCTCACCAAGGGCTGATCATCTTTAGATCTAACCAGCTTCTGCAACCTCTGGCTCCCTTGAGGGAAAGGAGGGATAAGTCCGGGGAGACTCCCATTTGGTCCTGCCAGGATATACCGTTGTGAAGGGCAAAGAGCCTCCCCTCTCCCCCACAGACAGAACTCGGTTCCTTCCCCTCCCATGGTCCTATTACTGGACTCTGAGCCCCACAGAGCACACACAAGCTGCTGAGTCCCCTACCGGCCACCCCTTACACAAATTCATTCAGCGAGCACCTTCTGAGGCCCCACTGGGCTGTAAGTGCCATCCGGGCAGGTGCCAAGGCAGCCTAATTCACTAGTTTGCTCAGGCTCGGCCCGGTGCCTCGTACAGAGGAGTACTTCTGTGTTAACGGAAGGAATACCCATGCCAGTGGCAGAAACTGCTCCTAGTTACAACTCAGAGTTAGTCCCTATCTTCCAGCTCGCAGCCTAGAAGGAGAATCCCATGCAGAAGCATACACCCAACGCTCAGCTCCTCTCCCACCCACCCCCATGCCCTCCTCCTTTCCTTTCTCACAGAAAGTCTCCCTGGGGTCCCCCCTCCCTCACTAATGGCCTGACTCTGATACAGCTGGAGCCACTGACCTCCGATGACTCTGACAACTACAAGTGCATCGCAAGCAATGACCATGCAGATGCCATCTACACTGTGTCTTTGCTAGTGACAGAAGGTGAGCCAGCTCCCTCCGCCTGGCCTTTCCTCTCAGGGACCAGACTCCCCCTGTCTGACCCTGATCATCTCTCTGTCCTCAGGTCAAGAGAAAATGGATTTCAAAAAGATGTTGAAAAAGAGGTGAGACTTGGACCCAAGCTCGAGCTTGTAAATAAACCCTCGTGTGTTTGCAAAAAAAAAAAAAAAAAGAAGAAGAGGTGAGGCTGGGAAGCTCCTCTGCCTGGGGTGCTGTCCCTCTACCATCCAGGCTAGAGCTTCTCCAAGGCCTTTCAGCAGGGCCCTGAGTTAATGGCCCAGGCTCCAAGAACCGATGAAGTAGGGAGGAGAATCTCAAGGTTAGGAGAGGCTCCCTTTGTCTTCAGAGGGAGGTGCTGAGTCCAAGCTTGATACCCACCTCCTTGCAGGGCACCCCCTGCTCCCAAGAAGAAGCAGAAGAAGGGAATAGGTGAGAAAGAGATGCTGGAGATTTTGTCCAAGGTGCCCAAGAAGGACTTTGAGAAGGTCTGCATGGAGTACGGCTTCACCGACTTCCGGGGCCTGCTCAAGAAGCTCAAAGAGATGAAGAAAGTGGAGGTGGAGGTCAGTGCCTATAGTGGGGCAGGGGTCTGCAGGCCGGGGTCTGGGTCTCTCCAAAAGCGCTAGTGCCTGTGTGTCTCCCAGTGGCAAGGCCTCTCCACCCTGCACACACATGCTCAAAGGCAAGAGCAGGAAAGGAACTTGCCTTCATTTTACGTCTTCTCTCTCCACAACCCCCTCACGTGCTTTTGCATGGACTCCGGAGTCAGACAGACCTGGATTTCAAATCCCAGCTCTACTGCCTTATTAACTATGTGAACTTGGGCATCTCTCTGAACCTCAGTTTCTCATTGGCAAAATGAAGATTCTACTTTCCTCTTTCATTTGTTTTTGTGTTGTCATCATTCATTCATTCAACCAACTCACAATTATTAAGCATCTACACCAGATTTAGAGAACTTATGTAATGGGCCCAGGTATACAATGACTGTTCCACGAATGGTGGCTCATTCTCATCATGCATCACATATCTGTCTCCCCCTAAGTCTTGCAGGCTTTCAGTGGCAGGAAGTCGGGGCGGGGGGTGAAGCATAGCTATCCAATCAGCCTAGTCATTTCTCCCCAGACCTTTAGGGGGTTCCTCCAGAATTGCGTTAACAGACTGGTCAGGCTCCAGATGTCCCTGACACCTGCCATTTTATTATCACAATCTCACAGACCATCCGGATTCTGAAGCCCCTGGAAGACATACAGACCAAGATTGACACCACTGTGGTCTTTGACTGCATCATGGAGCTGAAGGATCCCAATGTCAAGATGATATGGATGAAGGTGGCGTGGGGGCACCTAGGGAGGGCCTGCTCGGCAATATCATTTCCTCTCTTCACCTCCTCCCTTCACAGACCCCCTTTCATTATCCATCAACCAGGTCCCTTCCTCCAACCCAGCAAAAGGATGCCTGCTGGTATGATTGAAACTGGCTGAGAGCTGGGCTTTATTCTTAGCTGTTCCATCATTTTGCTTTTTCGTTTGCAACAGTTACTTTCCTCTCTCTGTGCCTCAGTCTACCCATCTGAAAGGCTGAAGTAGGTAGTCCTGAAGGTCACATTAAGAGTTCAGGTCTCAGGGGAGGCAGGGCTCCTGGGTTCCACTGTGCCAGATGATGAGGCTAAAGAGATCTCAAGGGTCTCTGGTATGTCTGGGGATCTTAGAGAGGTACACATGGCACCCCCAGCTCAGGCTGGCCTTGGGGAATGGGGACCTCTGGAAGTCTCCTGCTAAAGTCTCTCATCAGCTTTTCTACCTGTTTCATGAGGCAGGGTAATGAACCACTGAGGATCCAGTACTCCCTAGGCAAGTATGATGTGAAGCAGATGGGCACGAAGCACATGCTTGTTATTACAAACGTGAATATGAATGACGCAGGCACCTACAGCCTGGTCGTGGGTGACAAGCGGATGACAGCAGAGCTCACAGTGCTGGGTATGAATGTGGGCATCAGGGGGAACCAGGAGGACACAGTCAGGTTGAGGGAGGAATAGCTGGGGAGAGAAGACTGTGGGGCTATGCAAGAGAGAACTGCATAGGGATGGACATTAATGGAGGTGGGAAATGTGAGGGACAGGACTATGAGACAGGAAGTGCTATGGGGCAGTGTGGCATCGTGGTTAAGTGCACGGTCTCCAGAGTTAGATTACTGGGGTTCAAATCCCAGCTTCTGTCATTATGAACTTGTGGTCTGGGACAAGTTATTTAACTGTTATTTGCCTCAGTTTCCCCATCTGTAAAATGGAGAATAATAGTAAAATCTACCTACATGGGAATTGGATGCATTAATATGTGCAAATTGGCTAGAATAGTGCCTGGCACAGATCTAAAAGTATGTAAGTACTTTTTTAAATTGCCATGTTAACATTACTGGGGAGGAGACCATACGGACATCGTGGGAGGGGTTCACAAGCAGAATGAAAGGAAGGATGCTTTTCCAGTTGTGGGCTACAGGAGACCAGTGATCCTTGAATCTCCATGCCCCCTCAAGACCCCACCCCTCAGGAGAGACCGGGCTGCAGCCCAGTGACTGCCCCTCCTACTCTTCCACAGATGAGCCACTAAAGTTCTTGGGAGAGATGAAGCCAGGGAAGGTGACAGAGCGCCAGACAGCTGTATTTGAGATCCGCCTCTCCAAGAAAGTGCCTAACTTTGTGTGGAAGTTCAATGGGAAGGAGCTGAAGAGGGACGAAAAGTATGAAATCACAGTGTCTGAGGATGGTCTGACTCACACACTTAAGATTAAGGATGCCAGACTCAGTGATGCTGGCGAGTTCTCTGCTGAAGTGGGGGACCTGGTACAGAAGGCCCAGCTCACTATTGACCGTGAGTGGTTGGACCAGAGCTTTAGGGGTGGGCCTCATGCCACAGTCACCTCCATGTGGGCAGTTATCCTCCCATCCATCCATCCATCCATCCATCCATCTCTCCTTGCAAGGCCCTGTAATGGGTACTAGAAAAACAGGAGGTTCTCTTCTCCACTAACTCCTAGTGTAGTGGGGGAAGCAGGTGTGAAAATGGAATTAGAACATAAGTTCTCAAGCAGAGTCTTATGATCTAGTTGGGGGATCGTGGGTCAAGAAATGATTAGCCTTTCTGGCTCTAATGTCATATATTATAGCCCTTCACTCTTAACCACTTGCATTCTTACATTAGAGCAAGTTTAGAGAGCTACCCATGATGCTGGGTACATCAAGAAGCATGTCATACATGTGAACCGCACTTGACACGTGTGACATGGAATCGTCATGGCCGTGATGGAGGGAGACACAGAGATGGTGGGAACCCAAAGAAGGGGCACTACTTGGTAATGTCAGAAAAGACGTGATGAGGTGATGTCCAAGCTTTAGCAAGAAGAACAAAAAGGAGTTCAGCTTTCCGCAAATGGGGAAGAAGAGAGGAAATTCTCAACAGAGAGAACAGCATGTGTAAAGGCCCAGACACCAGAAAGACAATGCAATTATGGCTGGAGTTCCAAAGGGGCATTAGAGATATTGACTGACGTGCTGTGAGGAGGCGAGAGTTGTTAACCCATTTTATATATGAGGAAACTGAGACTCAGAAAGTGAATGCATTGCATACAGTCAGCTAGTAAGTTAAGGGGCAGAGCTAGGACTCTTCCTGCCAGTTACCTCTATAGATCACATGTTGCACACGTCCCATGTCACAAGTCCCCGTGTTTCTGGGACCAAAAAGAGAAGCAAGGTAGCAGGTAGCTGCAGAAAAGGGAAGTTGGGGGTTGGGTGCAGATCCAAGCCTACCTGTCCGCAGGCATCCCCATCAAGTTTGTGAGAACCCTCAAGAATGTACGTGTGAAAGAGAGAAGCCGCGCATGCCTCGAGTGTGAGCTGACATCCAAGGATGTGACACTGCACTGGAAGAAGGATGGGCAGCTGCTGGAACGCAGCACCAAGTACAGCATGAGCCATGAGGGCAAGCGAGCAGAGCTGGTCATTGAGGATGCACTTCTCAGTGACAGTGGCGAGTACACCGTGGTGGCCATGCAGGATGGAGACCCCACTGAATACTACAGTACTGCCATGGTCACTGTGGAGGGTACACATCCACATCCACCCTGTCAGTGCCCACTGACCAATCCCACCCAACCCTGACAGTTCCTTACTGTCAGGGACACTGATCAGCCCCCTACTGACTCCAGCCCTCCTCAGACTATGATCAATTTCTACCTCCCCACTCTGACCACCCCCATCTCCCAATTCTGACCATCTCCATGACCTCCCAGGCCCTGACCATCTCTACCTCCTAGACCCTGATGATACCTCATCTCTTGAACTCTGTCCAAAATCCCTCGACTTTATCCATCCTTCACTTTCAGGCTCTAAACAGCCCTAGCAGCCCTGATCATCCTATACTCCTTGACCCTGCTCAGCCCCTACTCACTAGCCCTGGCCACTCCCCACTGACCTTGACCACCCTCAACTCCTAGAAACAGTCTAGCATGACCACAAGGAGCCATCCCAACTCCCCTAACTACCCACATCCCCCCCTTCTTCAGCTAAGCATCCTAAGACCCCACGGACCATCCTCCAATGATAAGCCCCCCATTGGCCATTTTCCAATGCAAGGGACTTTTCCCCAACCTCCCACCTACTTGCTCCAGTTCCTCCCTCCACCCGACCATTCACCAACTGCTCACTGACCATTCCCAAACCCTCTGCCAATCCTAAATTACTTGGATAGACGCGGCACCCCTGCCTCTTCCCTTAGCCATGGCCACCAGACGTTTTCTGTGAGTCCCTTCCCGCCCCCAGCACCCTAACCCAGCCCATGCACCCCTTCTCCCCAGAGCGTCTGGCCACAGTGAAGAGCGGGATGTCTGACGTGCACGCGGCCACTGGGAGCCCGGCTGAGCTGTGCGTAGTGCTCAACGACGAGAAGGTGGAGGGCGTGTGGCTGAAGGACGGCAAGGAGGTCCGAGGCAGGGGCTGGAGGAGGGGACCAGGCGGCCAGGGGTCGACTCGGCGAACGTTGGCACTCACGCCCGGCCCGCCCCCTCCGCCTCCCAGATCACCGACTTGCCGGGCGTGCAGATCGTGAAGCAGGGTGCAGTGCACAAAATCATCTTCCCCAATATGGGTCCGGAGCACGAGGGCAAGTACACTTTCCGGGCCAAGGGCGCAGAGAGCGAAGCCTCGGTATTCATCGCAGGTAAGGCCGCCGTCCACTCGCGGCGAAACTCATCCACGCCCGGCCGGCCCACGAGCCAGCGCAGAGCTCTTCCCCGACCCCCGCGGGGTCCTCCTCCACCCCTCGTCGCCCCACTCCACCCCCCGATCCCTGCTGGGCCAGCCTGCCCCGCCACCCCCTACAGATCCTCCTACCATCGACCCATCCGTGCTGGAGGCGCTGGCCGCACACCCCGTGACTGTGAAGGTGGGCCACACGGCCCACATCAAGGTGCCCTTCCGGGCGAAGCCGCTGCCCAAAGTGACGTGGTACAAGGACGGCGTGGAGGTGACGGAGGAGGAACGTGTGTCCATGGAGCGTGGGGAAGACCAGGCTCTGCTCACCATTTCAAATTGCGTGCGTGAGGACAGTGGCCTGGTTCTGCTCAAGCTCAAGAATGACCACGGCACAGCGACAGCCTCTCTGCACCTCAGCGTGCTGGGTGAGGGCAGGACCCTGGCCGGGCTGGGCTGGGGGACCTGGGGCTCAGCACTCCCCACGGGGCTAGAGCTGGAGAGGGGGTTGACAATGGGGTTGGCGTGCTGGCTTTGCAGCCACAAGCCCACTTTCCAACTCCTGATTTTGTGGCTCTCGGCAATTCAAGGCACCTTCTGAAGCCTCAGTTTCTTCTTACCTGCAACAGGACGATTTGGTTTTTGTTGGTTTTTTGTTTGGTATCTATTTCAAGTGAATCTAAGGCACTTAGCAGTGTACAACACATAATAGACCTTCCAGTATTAAGGGTTGTCATTGACGTGGAGATGAGGACATGGTTGGAAGGCAGAAATGAAGTGAAAGAGGTGGGGCTTAGGGATAGAAGTGAAGTTGGTGGGGAAGTTTTGGGGTTGAAGTGAAATGGAATGATGGGAGGTGATATAGGATTGAGGATAAAATGATGCTGGAAAAATGAAAGGGGGGCCGCCTGGGTGGCTCAACAGCTGAACATCTGCCTTTGGCTCAGGGTGTGATCCTCATCCTGGGATCGAGTCCCACATCGGGCTCTTTGCAGGGAGCCTGCTTCTCCCTCTGCCTGTGTCTCTGCCTCTCTGTGTGTGTGTCTCTCATGAATAAATAAAATCTTCAAAAAAAAAAAGAAAGAAAGAAAGAAAAAGAAAAATGAAAGGGGGTAGGAATGGGATTTGAGATGGGTCTGAACATAAGGCTAAGGAAAGAGATGAGAGGCTGGCCTTACTGAGCTCATATTCAACAGGTAACACACACACCCCACACCATCGAGCTGTGGACTGAGAAAGTTTGGGTTTCAGTTCAACTCAGCAGATGACTGAGCCCTTCTTCTGTGTTCTCAGCGCTGAGGACACAGAGATGGAGGTATCCCAGCAGTCTCTCGACCCAAAAGGGGTGAAAACTAGCCGACGTGTAATTATAGCGTAAGATAAACTATCAATACCGGAAAGCACTGGAGTTCTGGAAGCTGAGAGGAGGGATGATCTTGTCTGGAAGGACACAAGGGGAGGGTGGGGGTATCAGCTAAGGCAGGGGTCCCCCAGATCCCCAGTCCACTCATGCCTAGACAAGTGAGAGTTTCAGGCGGCCAAGGCTCAAACTCTTTGGGCAAGTCTTACCAGGAGGGGCAGTGAACACAGAGCAGGGTGAGGGATCCAGAAAGCTCCCTGGAGATTCCTGGAAAGCCTCGGTATTCGTGGCAGGTAAGGTCGCCGCCCACTCGTGGCGAAACTCCTCAGTTAGTGAGCGGATCTAACTATGCCCCAGTTTGGCTGGACCTCCGGCAGGTGACATAAAGCCTTTCTGATCCTTTGCTCCCATTCTGATGCTATCGTCTTCCGCAGACCGTCCCAAGCCTCCCCAGGGCCGGGTGGAGTTCCTGGAACTCTCGGGAAGCTGTGTGCACATGAAGTGGAAGGCCCCGAAGGACAACGGCGGGCGGCCTGTGACGCAGTTCATAGTCGAACGGAGGATGGTCGGCAAGAAGTCCTGGATTAAGATAGGCGAGGTGGACAGCAAATTCACGAAATTCTCCACCAACAAGATAGAAGAGGGGAAAGCCTACCAGTTTCGTATCCTGGCGGTTAATTCGGAAGGAGTGAGCGACCCGCTGGAGACGGATGAAGTGTTTGCGGGAAATCCCATAGGTCAGTGACGTAGCCCCTGCTCAGTGGGAAGCTCAGTGGTCAGGACGGGGTCTTCAGACGGTGAGGAATGCCAGTCTGTGGGGCAGTTCCCTGGGGCCCCTCTCTAGCTATCCTATGGGACAGACGGAATCCAGACTAACAGCAGAACATCGCCTCGGGCAGGAATTCTCGACTTTTCTCAGATCACATGCACGGCACACTCCGGGGCGTGTAATCAGAACTGCGTTCAATTCCAGGGAAATGACGCCACTTGTTTCTCCATTTCAGAAATCATCCCAAATGCGAAGGGAAGTGATGTTGTTTTAGAGATAACCTTGAATCTATCCTTTTTTTCTCAAAGAAAACCCTTGACAACATTGGCATTTTAATTATGAATGCTAATTAACTACTTGCAACACTCCTCCCGATTGGTCTCCATGTCTCCATGCATCAAGTACCTTAAGATGCTGGAAAAATGAAAGGGGGGCACTTGTGGCATTGGGGATGACTCAGGTTGGAAGATGCGAGTTGGTGATTCTCAGTCTTGGCCACACAGCAGAATCACCTGAGGTCTTGAAAAGCAAGCCGACGCCTGGCCTCCACCCCAGGCCAAATAAACTAAACTATCTGGAAGTAAAACCCAGCCATTGGTTTTGGTGATGGTATTTTTTTTTAACTCCCCACTTGTTAAGAGTTAAGAATCAATCATTGGGTTTTTTTTTTTAAGGAGAGAGCCAGAGATCAGCATGGGGTGGGCAACTGTCCACATGCTCTCCCTTCTGACCTCTGCCCTCTGTCTCCCACAGAGCCTCCTGGTCTTGCCTCCCAGCCTCAAGTGACTGATGTGACCAAAGAGGCCATGACCATTACATGGAATGCCCCAACCCAGGACGGGGGAGCCCCAGTGCTTGGCTACATTGTGGAGCGGAGAAAGAAAGGCAGTAACCTATGGGTGCCAGTCAACAAGGACCCCATCCAAGGTGAAGTCCTAGGGAGAGAGGCCCAGGAGGACCAAGGGAGGTTTTGCTGGGTGGACCTATGTACCCCTGCTACCCTGAACATATTTCATTCCCCAGTTCCTTTGGGGTTTTTAATAGCAACTCATAACCCCCTCTTCCATGTCCTCTCACTCTCTGGTCTCCCATCTCATGGATCCCCTGCCTTATGACCCCTCAAATTCCCATTTCAGACACCAAGTGCACCGTGGATGGTCTCCTGGAGGACACAGAATATGAATTCCGAGTTATAGCTGTGAATAAGGCAGGCCCCGGACAGCCCAGTATGGCATCCAACTCAGTGGTAGCCAAGGACCCCGTCAGTGAGTAGGGGGGATGCCAAGCCCCAATATAGTAGAATTAGCCCATTCAAGGTAGACAGCAGAATTCTTCTCTGAGAAAGTCTAATAGGATGACCCCTCCACACAGTGTCCACTTTCTGGGAGCTGACAGCCTAACAAGAGGAACAGGATTCACACACAAAAGAAAGCCAGCAAATAAAGATTGAGAGTCAGTGAAGAAAGAGGCGGGGTAGAAAAAAAAGTTATAAAACTTTGAGCGTTTCTGGTTAGGTTAAGGTGGTAGAGGCATGTTTGAGGGTTGGGTAGGGCTATCGGGTAGATGGTTGGGAGAGTGCTGAGCTTAGGAGGTGAGATGGGGGTAATACACATGAATGGATGTGGTGGAGATGGCTGGGCTAAAAGGTGGAATTTAGAACATAGGGGGATTGAGGGTATAGGGTATGTTGGATTTGGAGGGTATTAACTTCAAGCATGAAAGGCTGGAGCCAGTGAGAGAATTGAATCTGGCGGTTATTGAGTGTTCAGGGTTGGTGCTCAAAGTGTAAAGTGGGAGTTGGAGGCAGTAGTGGTGAAAGTTAGGATTCGGGGTTACTGACTGCGGGAACTGGGCATGGGATGGAGTACAGATGAGTCGGAAGGCCAACTGGATGTCTGTGCCACCCAGAACCCCCAGGCCTGGTGCAGGGTCTGCACGTGTCTGATTCCTCCAACTCCAGCATCTCCCTGGCCTGGCGGGAGCCTGCAGAGGGAGACCCCCCCTCCGGTTACATCCTTGAGATGCGGGCGGAAGACACTAAGGAGTGGTCCAAGTGCACAAAGATCCCCATCTCGGGCACCTGCTACACGGTGGGAGGCCTCACCGAGAGGCAGAAATACTTCTTCCGAATCCGGGCTGTGAATGAGGCTGGGGTCGGGGAGCCTGTGGAGCTGGATGAGGGGGTCCGTGCCATGCCCCCACCAGGTGAGGATGCAGAGAAAGCTGGGGTTTAGGCCCCAACATCCTACCCCATATTTTCTTCCCTGGGACCTCATGCCACAGGGGAAAACTGGGTGATGCTCTGATCAAGAAGTCATCCATACCTGCACCTGGACAGAGCTGGGGGTGACCCATCCCCACCCCACCCCCAAAAACCGACTCACTGTATGCCAAATAGTATCTACTGTGTGCCAAGGGAGATGTTAGAAATATAGAAACAGGGATCCCTGGGTGGCTCAGCGGTTTAGCGCCTGCCTTTGGCCCAGGGCGTGATCCTGGAGTCCTGGGATCGAGTCCCACGTCGGGCTCCCGTCGTGGAGCCTGCTTCTCCCTCCTCCTGTGTGTGTCTCTGCCTCTCTTTCTATCATAAATAAATAAATAAATCTTTAAAAAAAAAAAGAAATATAGAAACAAATGAGACACAGGACATGCCCTAGAGTCTTACATACTAATAAGGGAAAACAGATGAGGAACAACTAGATGCTTCGCAGCGCTGGGGCTGCCCCCTGTCTATACGACCTGTCGTGAGAGCTTGGAGGAGAGGTTGGGAAAGGCTCTGGGGGAGGTTTAAAGCTGAGTCTTCCCAAGAGAGAGGTCCATGGCCCCACCTCTGTGTCCCCATCACAGCTGCCCCCAAGTTTGACCTCAGTGCCCGGCTGAAGAGTCACATGGTGGTGCGCGCTGGGACAGCCCTCTGCATCCACACTGCCTTCTCTGTGAGTGGTCCCAGACCCTGGCCCCCAGATGCCCACCGCTTAACCAAGACGGCCAAAATATCACCTGGTTGACCCCAGTGCCATCTCCGGTCACCCCGCAGGGGTCACCACCACCCAATGTAATCTGGCAGAAAGACGGCATCCCCACCAAGGGCCGGGAAACCATCACCAAAAGCAAAAACCACTCCCAGTTCCTCATCAACAGCACCAAGCGCTCCGACTCAGGGGTGTACCGCATCTTGCTGCAGAACGAGTTTGGAGAGGCATCCTATGACATCCACGTGCGTGTGACAGGTAAGACAGCAGGCGGAGGCCTCGGGGAGGCAGCCTTGCACACACTTGCAAAATATAGCTCCCCACCGCTGGAGTTCCTGGCCCTGCAGAGTCATGCCTCGAGATGGTGAAGGCTTCTCGGGCACCACAGAGCAAGACTTGATCGGCCTTTGCCTTCATGGGGAGGTTTGTTTCCACTTTTCTAAGCACTTTACTCGACGTCCCTGTGGTAGTTTTTGTCAACCCTATTTTGCAAATGGGGAAATGGTCTCAGAAAAGATAAGTAACTTGCCCAGGTTCACAGGGCTGGTAGGCGGCAGCGCTACACCTCAGAAATAGTTCTGCTGCCTCCCAAACACCAGCGGCCTGAACTCAAAGGGACATTATCTACCCCACACTCCATAGGACGTGGCAGGTGGCCGGGGCGGGGCACATTCTTCAGGCCCCCAAGGGCCGCCGATGCACCTTGTGGCTCTTCCCAGATTTCCCACGGCCGCCCACAAACCTACAGCTGTTTGAGGAGGTCCCCAACACAGTGACTCTGACCTGGAACCACAGCCCTGACGTGCAGGAGGACAGCGAGGCCCACTACGTGATCCTGAAGCGGGATGCCAGCACCGCCACCTGGTTCACGGCCGCCGACCACGTGTTCAGCAACAAGTACACGGTGACCGGGTTGCTCCCCGGCAGGAAGTACTACTTCCGAGTGGTGGCCCGGAACGAAATTGGTGACAGCGACCCCCTTGACTCCAAGGATACCTGGCACGTCAACAAGGACAAGAGTGAGTGGGGGGGGGACTCAGGGGTTTGGGTGATACCCCCTGGCTGGCAGGGATGACATGGGCCTTGCCAGGGGGAGGAAAGATTTGAGGTACCATCGGAGAGCCAGGGAGGGGGAAAGGCCAAGGTCAGGGACGCTGGGAAGAGAAGCAGCAGCACTCCCGCAGCCCAGAGAAGATACTCTGTGGGTGCTCTGAGGGGTGGGGCTGAGGTGGAGGTGCCCCTGGGCGAGGAGTGGAGAGCTGAGCGCCACCCTGGGACCCTCGGGGCCGAGGACTGCGGAGGGTCTCCGAGGAGGACGTCCAGGGAGGGAAGGGGTTAAGGGTGGAGCCAGGGTCGGGAAACTGAGGCCGTGCCCAGCCAGAGGAGGCTGAGACTACACGGGGGGGGGGGGGGGGGGGGGGGCAGCCCGATGGGCCGGAAGCCGGAAAGAAGTCAGGGCTCCTGGGTCTGCAAAAGGGGAAAAGAAAACCCGCGCACCTGGCTTTGGTCGGGGACCCTGGAGTGACAAGGGCGGGGAGGGGGCGGAACGGGAAGCTCAGGCACCAGGGTAAAGGCGCAGGCCGCTGTGGCCTTGGGCGCGGGGGGTCCGGGGTGCGGGACTCCACTGTGCGGGGGTCCGCGGTGCGGGGGCGCGGGGGTCCGGGGTGCAGGGCGCGGGGGTCCGGGGTGCGGGGCAAGGGGGTCCACGGTGCGGGGGTCCGGGGTGCGGGGGTCCTGCGGGGTGCGGGATGCGGGGGTCCACGGTGCGGGGGTCCGCGGTGCGGGATGCGGGGGTCCACGGTGCGGGGGTCCAGGGTGCGGGGTGCGGGGCGCGGGGGTCCACGGTGCGGGGGTCCGGGGCGTGGGGTGCGGGGCCCAGGGTGCAGGGTGCGGGGTCCGGAGTGCAGGGGTCCGTGGTGCGGGGGTCCGCGGTGAGGAGGCGTGAGGGTCCAGGGTGCAGGGCGCGGGGGTCTGCGGTGCGGGGGTCCGGGATGCGGGGTGCAGGTGTCCAGGGTGTGGGGTGCAGGGCCTGGGGTGTGGGGGTCTGGGGCCCAGAGTGCGGGGGTGCAGAGGTCCGGGGCTCGGGGTGCGGGGGTCCGCGGTGCGGGGGTCCGGGGTACGGGGGCCCGAGGTGCGGGTGTCCAGGGTGTGGGGTGCAGGACCCGGGTTGCGGGGGTTCAGAGGTCCGGGGTGTGGGGTGCGGGGCCCGGGGTACGGGGTGCGGAGGCTTGGGTTGCGGGGGTGCAGAGGTCCGGGGTGCGGGGCGCGGGGGTCCGCGGCGGGGGGTCAGGTGTCCAGGGTGTGGGGTGCGGGGGTGCGGGGCGCGGGGGTCCAGGGTGCGGGGCCCGGGTGCGGGGCGCACTCACGGCCGCCGCGTCCCGTCCCGCCCGCGCAGTCGAGGACCTGAGCGCCACGCTGAAGCCCTACCAGCAGAAGGACTGGCGCCACGCGCCGCGCTTCGTGACCCCGCTCAAGCCGCACACGGTGCTGCGCGGCCAGGACTGCACCATGACCTGCGCCTTCCTCGGGAACCCGCGGCCCACGGTGACCCTCTACAAGGGCGACGTCAACATCACGGCCAACTCCAAGTTCTGGTACAACTCCACCAGCGGCGTCTGCACGATCGTCATCCCCACCTGCACGCTCAAGGACAGCGGCGAGTACAGCGTGCTGGTGGAGAACGAGCTGGGCAAGGACCGCAGCAGCTGCGCGCTCACGGTCTACGGTGAGGGCCCCGCGCGGGGGGGCCCCGGGGGTGCGGTGCGGTGGGGGTGCGCCCAGGCGGCCGGCTCCTGGCACGGCTTTTGCATCTTCTCCAACATCAGGGGGTGTAAACACTCACCCACTGGCCTTACGGGCGCCTCTCTCCCATCCTCTGGATGTCCTTTGTTAGGCGCCTGGCCCCTGCAGACTGGGGAGTCTGCAATCCCTCAGCAGATTGTAGCCCTTGGGGGGCCTAGACTTGCCTTTGCAAAAGATACTGGTGATTAGGCCTAAACCGGACTCACCAGTCGCAATCTCTGCAGCAAGGTTCTGGAAGGAATTTTTATGTTTACAGTATTTTACAGGTGATTCTGATAGGGAACCAAGCCTGAAAGCTGCTGGTCTAGGATAAGGATAGTTGGGAAATACAAATGGGGGAAGGACCGAAGGGAACCCTAGTGGAGACCCTTCCTCTGCACAGGGCACACCTCTGCTAGTGTGTGTGCCTATATTTCTTCCTACACACTATCTTCACAACTACACGGCTAGTTGTAGACATGAAGTCTAACTGCAAAGCTGACCTGCCCTGCTCCCTTCTTGCTTAAACTCCCCAACTTTTCCATGATCCTCCTGAGAAAATCCCAGCCAGCAAGGCTCCCCACACTGTCCCCTGCGCCCCACATCTACTTCTCCAGCCTCGTCCTCTGCCACTCGCTGAACTCTCCGTGGCAGTCCACTGTGTCCTGCGGTAGGTGCCTTTCTTTAGGGGAAACTACCGTGTTCTGTTGCTCTGTCTCTCAAATACCCAGCCAGGTGTCTGGCACTGAGGTGATGCCTCCAGAGCGGCTGCTGAACTGTGCGACAGAACTGGGCCAGGGAAGGCATGGTGGGAGACATCCAGCTTTCATTCCACAGCTAGAGAAATCCCTGACAACTTAATTCTGGTTGTAAGCTCATGGGCCCAGGGCCCTGGCTCCACTGCTCTCCAGCCGTGTGACCTTGGCAAACCACTCTGAGCCTGTTTTCTCATCCATTTCTTAGGGCTGTTTGGAGGCTTAAATGAGATAGTGGATGGAAGTTCCTGGCGCGATGCTTGGCAAATATTAAGTGTAGAATAAGAACTCTTCGTCCCACACTCTCAGCTGACCTTGGGAGACTGGGGCCCTCACTGCACGTCCGGCAATTTGGAGTCTGCCTTCCTACCAACGTTAACACTGACAAATACTTATTTTGCTCTTTCAGACAAAGATGACAAGTCAATTCTAGCATCAGTCACTGAAAGTCTGCAGAAGTCAAAGTACCTTATGTGAGCTCCGGCCCAGGCCAAGCATCAGGAGGATATTGTGAGGGCTTATCCTGTTGTTTCTGGGTCTCTTCCGTGCATGGCCCCAGTGAGGGCGACCCCGTTTGCTCTCTGGTGCTCGTCCGTGTAAACAGTCCATGAAGGCATGGGATAATAAACTGACTAAGCTCACCCCTGCCTGTTCCTGAGGGTGATGTGCAGGGACCAAGGACATGGACTTGGGAGTGGATGGGGGCACACGGAGCATGGACCCCAAGTCACACACTTACCTTGAGAGTGACTGGCCTTGGCTTGCCTTCCCCTCCCCGGCAGCCCCAGTGCACCCTCCCCTCCCCTTGGGGCAAGGTTAAACAAGTCCTAATAGGCTTTATCCTTCTCCTGGTCCTTCCCCCACCCCCCTTTCTTCACCAGGTGTGTCGTTGTTGTCGTCGTCATCAGAGTTCTGGGGTTTGAAGGGATCAGGGCCTTGCCTCTTTAGTGTCCAGGATTCCCGCTATTTCAGAATTAGTGCATCTCAGAGCTAGAAGGGATTGGTCACCCAACTCACTAGGTTTCAAACTTAGGTTTTACAGCAGAATTCTCTCTTTAACAAAAAAAAAAAAAAAAAAAAAATCATAAGAAACTACCGGACTTCAAACAAGGATAGGGGGATCTCTGAGCCTCCCTCCTCTACTTCTTTCACTATCTCCCCCCAACCAGAGGTCTCTAAAAATCCTAATTTGAAAATCATGAATTCACCCATTCACCCATCACTGGACTAAGTCTCCTCTATCCAGTCCTCACTACTCTACACCCTCCCGGCTAAGGGCACATTCACCACCACCCAAGACTTCCCTCTCAGCTTCTGGGTCAGGCAACTGCCCATTAAGATGCAAATGCCCCTGGTGCGGAGTGACTCCACTCCATTGTTTCGCCAAGGGCTTCCCATCTAAAGTGCAAATCAACCAATCTAATCTCCCTCCTCCCCACTGTTTGACTGAGCCCAGAGTCCAAGGAGAGAGGAGACGCTTGAAGGGAATCTGGATCACTCGAGTGAGCAGGCAGCAGTAAAGGCCACTGAGTAACCACGAATTCCCAAAGGTGCCAGGCACCCGTGCACAGGGCAATGCATCCAGGAGAAACTTGGATGGTGGCAAATACTACCCATCCCCCATCCTCCGGAACTACATCCTCACCCATACACGTGACCAAGGAAGTGAAGGCCCATTCCAACCGGCACCATGTCACCAGAGCCAGGGAGCCAGCCTGGCGCCAAGATGCACTGGCCAGCACTGTGACCCAAGCTGTAAGGACATCCAGGGCCCTGGCACCATGCCCCCATACCCTCCTCTCCAGGACAGGCATATGCCACACAGGGAGATAAGCAGGCCAGCGATGGCCTTTGGTTTTTATTTTTTTGTTCACATAAGCAGCAAAGGATAGAGTTGTCCCACCCATCCTTGCTCCTTTTGCATTGAATGTGCCTTAGGTCTTATGACCCTAGAAAGTCATCGGAGGCCCCTCCTCTCACTCTCAGTGCTGAAGGGACAGAGAGGAAAGCACTGATGGAGGCAGGGTGGGGTCCCAGCTCTCTAAGCCAGGCTCAGCACCCCCGCAGCAACTCCCTGAGGCTCTCTCTCTATAAGACTTAGACAGCAGGACAGAGACAGATGGCAGAGCAAGACATAGACAGGCTGGGAGACAGACCACACACACACAGACTCACGTGCACAGACACACAGACAGGCTGGCCCCTTCCTTTGGCATGGTTCACCCTAGCCCTGGGGATAGGGTCCTAAGGGTAGTGGTAGTGGGCCTGCACGCTGGGCTAGCCTCTGAGAGAGATGGGACCAACCTGAATCCTTGGTAACCCAAGCCCCCAGGCCAATGAAGTCCCCAGTCTTGCCTACCCGGACAGACACTCCTTCATCTTCCCACCCAACACTTAGAAATTGAGATTGTTCAAGTAATAAGGAGAGATGAAGGAAAGGGAGATTCCATCCTCCTCCAGTCTTCCCAACTAGGGGCCTGCAAAAGGGGCTTCAAGCCCTGGGCTTGGGTCATCTCAGCTCAGATTTCTCCCCTCTTCCCTTAACTGTGCAGATTACAAAGAGTGGGAGTGGGTGAGTCAGACTCTTCCATCTAGTAGAAGTGGGAGGCGGTCAAGACACTTGAGCACCATCACCCTCCAGAGGGGTTTTGACAGTCCCGATGGGGTTAGAGGTGGGGAGATGTCTAATTCTGGCCCCAGTAAGGAGAATTAGGCTGGCTCTTTTCAGCTCTCAGAATTGTTCCAGACCACCAGCTTTGCTAGAGAGATCCTCTTCCTGCTTACCCCCTCACTTCTACATTTCCCGGGTGGTAATCGCTGCCGCAGGTGAGACCTACAGCCGTCCTGACCCAGTTCTTGCAGGTTCTAGACCCCCGTCCCAGAAGAAGACAGGGGTAACCAGACCCTGGCCTCTCAGTTGGCCTTGCTCAGTCTGTAGTCTTCCATTGGCTCCCGGCTTTCAACAGCTGACAGGGCGATGAGCATCTGGGCAGCATAGTAGGTGGACATGATGAGCGCCCGGGAGTAGGGCACGAGGAAGCAGAACTTGTTGAGGGCGATGGTCAGGTCTGAGATGATAAAGAGCACCGCACCACTGCCTGCTGCCAGCTCAGTCCAGCGCCAGGCTGCCCCGACCAGCCGCAGTCCTGCCAAAGCCCGCCAGCTCATGAAGCCGATCAGGGCCACATAGACCCCCACCGGATAAGTGAAGGCATCTGAGAGGCACGGGTAGAGAAGAGCATAGGCCAGGCAGGACAGCACTGCCATCATCAGACCTGTCCGTAGAGCCAATGGCCGCATGCCAAAGGCCGAGGCGTAGAGCATGTGGGTCACGGCAAACATCAGCAGACCTGGGAGTGAGAGGGGATGAAGGGATGCAGAGGGCAGGCTCAGGTGAGTCATGGGGTGGGGGCAGGAGAGGAGTGCTTGGGATAACCCAGGAGCTTTGTCTGGGGAGTATCGGGGGTGGGAAGAAACCCACAAAGATATACCCGCCCCTTCCCCTGAGGAACTCCAGAACTGATCACCAGACCATCTGTAAAGGTAATCCTCCAACCAGGGCCCCATAGTCATCGGCCTCAGAACCCCTCAGATTCTCCATGTTCTTCTTCCAAAGCTCCCTCTCCCAAATCCTTGCCACCTATGACCCTCTAAGCACCCAGCCCCAGGATTCCTCCCAGGTAGCTACTGTGGCAACTGACCGTGCACAAAGTAGCCCTGGTCCTGCCAGATGAGGAAGGCATCACCTAGAGCGGAGAAGACAAGCCCCACAAAGATGCGGGTGGCACTGGGGTGGGCCAGCAGGAATCCTAGGCCATGGGCCAGAAGGAAGAGCCAGAGGCAGAAGATGGGCAGGCACTTGATGAGGGCGCTGACCCACGATGGGCTGGTCGAAGGCAGCCAGAGCACAAAATACACGCAGGTGGCCTTGAAGAAGGGCACCAGCTTGGGTCCCTCACTCTTCACCTGGAGGACACAGGACAAGGGCAGCACTCAGCACTTGGAGCTCAGAAGCCCACAAAGGTGTTCAGAGCCAGCACCCTCAACCCAGACATACACCCCAGAGCCAGACCCACCTCCCGAGGAGAGAGGACACACACAGAGAAACCCAGTTTGGCCTGCCCCAACCACCTAGCGAAGTATGAACATTCCCATCACCACCCTGAGGCCTAACTGATTAGGAAGGGGGAGGGCTCCCCCCGTTCCTGCGGTCCCTGCGGTTGGTTGGCCCGTGCGCATTCTTGACCCAAAGCAGGACCAGAATAGTCACTCACTGAGCAGAAAACAGATCTTGGGATAAAGTCCCCTCCTACAGGCAATGTTTCTGCCTTCCTGGCCCCTCCCTGTCCTTCCCCAAAGCCCCTTTAACCCCTCTAGGCCACCAGCCGTCTGGAATGGAGTGCAGTCAGCAGGAAACCACAGAGACGCCACAACTAGCCAACTCGTGATCCTCCGCAGTGGGGCCAGGGCACAGGCTTAGGGCCCTGGCAACACCCTGAGAGTGCCAGGAATGCGTGAGGGTGGGTCCTCCGCCCCGACGGGCTCTCTCCTGGGCCAGTGTGCTCCTCAGCCTCCACTCCAGCTGCCCCTAAAGGTACCAGCCTAAAGGTACCATCAAGAGCAAGGAGAGGAGACAGGAGTGCTGGCTGGAGAAAGAACGACTTCAGGGATTGGGGAGTTGGGGGAGGGGGGCGCTGTCTGTGGGTCACTCTCATTTCCCAGAGAACAAGAGCAACTCAAGAGCTCATCAAAAAGAGAGGCAGGAAGCAGGGGAGGGGTTCTCTTTCCAGCTTTTGATCTGAAGCCAGCAGACTGGCTGGGAGGAGATGTGGAACTGCGAGGGAGAAGTCAGAGCAGCTGACTCGGCCTCAGCCCGATTAGGGGGGAGGGCAGCTCCAGAAAGGTGTGTCCCAGGCCACTCCGGATCCTCTCCAAGCTGAGGGAGGGGGCTAGCGCAGATACTCTGGATCTGTGATCTCCTGGAGCTCCTTTCTTGGGGCTTTGGGCACAGGGTCTCTGCGGGCCATTCAGAACTGCCGAGGTTCCCTGTATACACACGCTCTGCCCTAAATGATTGTGCCTCTGGCTGGGTGAGCTGTCCAGCACGAGGCTCGGGGCCACCCTGACTCCCACACTGCCGGTTACCTGAGGGCTGCTCAGACGGTGACGAGGGAGGCTGGGAAGAGGCAGGTGGTAGGTCCAGGATCCCAGCCTGCCCTTGCTCCGCCAGGGGTGAGGGCAGGGAGAGAAGATGGCTAAGTCCCTTCCTACGGAGATCTCCCCCATCCAGGCTCAGCAGGGCAGGGGCCGGGGCCGGGGCCGAGGGGCAGCCCGGCCCAGACCACCGACCCCACAGTCCCTGGCTCCTCCCAGCAGCCACCCGCCAGGCCTCGGGGGCACCAGCGCCCGCTCCACACCCCTCCCCAGCCCCGTGTTTCCTATAAGGAGAAACAGGCCGGAGCAGCAGCCGGGGAGGCTCGGCCCGTCCCGGGGAGTCCGACACCAGGAGAGGAGGGGTGCGCGGACCGACCCAGGTTCCAGCTGAGAACGTCTCAAGAGGAAGGGATGTCAGGCGAGAAGGGCCCCCCTGCTCGCACTCGGGGGCGCCCCCCCCCGGGCCCGGGCTTGCTTCTACGAGGAGGATCCGGGTCCGGGGGAAGCGGTGCGGGCCGGGGTCCCCGGGCGGTCCCCGGGAGGCCCCCGCCGCCCCGGGGTCGGCCGCGCGCGGTCGCGGTTCTCGCCCCGCCGGCCCGCGTCACACACACAGCAACAAAGTCACGCTTCCGAGTCACGTGCCCGCTGTTTTCCTCCCTCCCGCCGGGGCGCGGGCGCTGCGCGGAGGAGGAGGGGCGCCGCGGCCCGGGACCCCCGCCCTTGCTCGGCCCCGGCGGCCCCGGCGGCCCCGGCGGCCCCGGCGGCCCCGGCGGCCTGGCCTGCCGCAGCCCGGTCCCCAGGCCGGGGGGCGCCGGCCGCGCCGGACGCCGGCTCGCTCGCTCGCTCACTCACCACAGTGACCGGGGACACCATGGCGGCGGCGGCGGCGGCGGCGGCGGCGGCGGCGGGACGCGCCCGCGGCCGGGAGGCGAGGCCGAGACGCAGCAGAGCCCCGCGGACCCGCACTGCCTCCGGCTCGCCCGGCGCCTGGGTTCGGGCTGCGATCCCCGTGACGTCACGCCGCGCGCGGCCAATGAGAGGGCTGGAGCCCAGGGGGCGGGGCGGCCTAGGGGGCGGGGCGTCCGAGGCCCCGCCCCGCCCCGCCCCGCCCCGCCGGGGGACCCGGGTCCGGGGCGCCCGGGCAGTGACCGCGGCCGTGACTCGCGGGACTGGGCGAGGACCGATCCCGGCCGAGCGTCCCACGCTCCTGTCGGGCACGCGGCTGCACACACTTCCCATATCCCGGGGGGTAAAAGGCGCGTCTTGCAGACTCGAAAAGCCTTCAGACACGCAGCTCGCACGCACGCACCTGGGATCAGACACACCGCCTGCCTGCACGCGGCCACACGGACACACCGCGGTCAGGTGCGCACCCCCTTCGGCGCAGGAGACACATCACCAGGCACACAGCAGCCCGTAGACACTTAATCCCTACATAGGTGCAGACACACGCAGAATCACAATTAATTAGCCTTAGGCACTGGGGCAGCCCAGGTGGCTCAGTGGTTTAGCGCCGCCTTCAACCCAGGGCCTGATCCTGGGGACGAGTCCTCCACGTCGGGCTCCCTGCATGGAGCCTGCTTCTCCCTCTGCCTATGTCTCTGCCTCTCTCTCTTTCTGTGTCTCTCATGAATAAATAAAAAAATATTTAAAAAAATTATCCTGGGATCCTGGGTGGCGCAGCGGTTTGGCGCCTGCCTTTGGCCCAGGGCGCGATCCTGGAGACCCGGGATCGAATCCCACATCGGGCTCCCGGTGCATGGAGCCTGCTTCTCCCTCTGCCTATGTCTCTGCCTCTCTCTCTCTTTCTCTCTGTGACTATCATAAATTAAAAAAAAAAATTATCCTTAGGCACCGAACAGGTATGTAGACCCAAAACCGCAGTTCGACACACGTCCTTGGACGTGAAAAGAGACACTCATATAGTCACGCAGCAGCCCACAGACGGCAAACACTTCATTGCTCTTAGGCACATGCCTCTCATAGTTCACAAACAACTATAACACAAGAACACACCAGAAATGAGCATACTTGAGGCCCCAGAGGGTGTGAACTAACTTTGCCAAAATCCGGCTGAGGCAGGTTTAGTGTCGATGTTACAGACACTAAAGGTCCACGGGCACATTTGGAAACGAGCCTCCTCAGAATCCTGGGAGCGACATGGGTGGACTGGTGAGCTATCAAATGGACTGGGACAAAGATCCCAGTCTTGCCACTTCCATGCTGTGTGATCGCATGAATCACTTCCCTTCTCTGGCCTTGTTTTCCTCATGTATAGGATGGATGCATAATCTGTAAGGTTCCTCCCAAGCCACCGGGTTGTGTAGGATGGGGAAGAGGCAGGCTGCTGGTGTCAGGAAAGTCCAGGTGGCTTCCTGCACATGGGGCATTTCAGATACTTGTTAAATAAAGCCTGGCCTGCAGTCTTTGATCTGCAGCAGGAGGAGAGGAGCTGTGTGCCAGGCTTCGGGAATTGGGGTTGGAGGGGATAACCAGTCTTCAGTAGCCCTGATTACCAGCCAACAGGGAGTTTTGTGTGCGTGTGTGTGTGTGTGTGTGTGTGTGTTTTAAGATTTTATTTATTTATTCATGACAGACACAGAGAGAGAGAGAGGCAGAGACATAGGCAGAGGGAGAAGCAGGCTCCATGCTGGGAGCCCGATGTAGGACTCGATCCTGGGACCTTGGGATCACGCCCTGGGCCGAAGACAGGGACCAAACCGTTGAGCCACCCAGGGATCCCCCCAACAAGGAGTTTTAAACATCCTGGGATGGCACTACAGCCCTAGTGCTACACCCCAACTTGGTGCTGGGCCAGGAGAAGCCTACAGGCTGCCTTCTGTGAACCCCTCCCACAGTGAGCCTCTTTCTTTTTTTTTTCTCTTTCTTTTTCTTTTGGGGACCCACCCAGCTCTCCCCCGAACCATGCTGACCTGACACCCACTTGGAGTGGGGAGCAGCCCTCTTTCAATGATAGAATTAACAATGAGAGGTTCAGAGCCAGGGGCAATCAAGACTTGGGTTTTGGGGGTCACCCACAGCCTTCTCTGTCCCCCACAGGCCCCTTCTGGATGGAGGCCCAGTGGGTGGTGAACTCTGTCACTGTGCTCTCTTCCCAACTGGGGGCCATGGGGATACCTGCCTTACCAGAATGGGAGATAGAGTTGCTGCCTGGAGGACTTGGTGGTATGCACACGGCGCTCACACACATACACACACACACACACACACACACCCTCCCTACAGGGTCCTGCCTAGGAAAATACTGGATTGAGAGTTAAAACTACTGTACTTGGTGCCAGCCACTGCCTTCTCTGGGACTTACTAGCTTTGTTAACTGGGCACATCACCCCATCTTTGGAGCCTGGTTTTCCTTGTCAGAAAATGGAGAAATGGGGCAGCCCGGGTGGCTCAGCAGTTTAGCGCCAACTTCAGCCCCGGGTGTGATCCTGGAGACCCGGGGATCCAGTCCCACATCAGACTCCCTGCAGGGAGCCTGCTTCTCCCTCTGCCTGTGTCTCTGCCTGTGTCTCTGCCCCTCTCTGTCTCTCATGAATAAATAAGTAAATAAATCTTTAAAAAAAAAAAGAAAGAAAATGGAGAAATGGGGCTAGAAGAAATGTGCAAACATGTCCATTTTCCTTTCTTTCTTTTTTTTTAAGATTTTATTTATTTATTCATGAGAGACAGAGAAAGACAGAGAGGCAGAGGCACAGGCAGAGGGAGAAGCAGGCTCCCTGCAAGGAGCCTGATGTGAGACTCGATCCTGGATTCTGGGATCATGCCCTGAGCCAGAGGCGGATGCTCAACTGCTAAGCCACCAAGGCGTCCCCCGCCAAAACCTTTAATGTCACCTAAGGGATCGTTCTCAGAGCATGGCCAAGTCAGGGCATTTTTTTCATTCCTCTGGACTTTAGTTTCTGTGTGGAGAAAAATGAGAGGATGGGACCCTAGCTTGTTGGGTTCTCAACAAGCAAGACGGATCAAAATTACTTGGGAAGCCTTTTAAAAAACATAGATACCCTTGCCCCCTCCCAGACCTACTAATTAAGTGGCAGAGATTTTAATAAGATGGATACACAAATCCTCAAATATAGAAAGTATGAGAACTAGAATTGTCATCTGCAGGGCCCAAATCAATGTTTGATTGCTCAGTAGGCAATAATCATATATACAAGTCACATGCAAACCAGGGGCGTCTCCCCCCTCTCCCCCACCCCCCACCCCCGGCGGATGCTGGTTATTCTCTGCCCTCTCACTACCCAGTTCCACTCTCAGCCCTCTCTCCCCTGACCCTGGAGGATGACCTCTATGAACTATATCACTGGGGCTCACTTGCCCTCTGGCTCCTGACTGAGTTTGGCTAACAAGAGTCACAGGCAGGTCTGAAGGTGAAAGGAGAGGATGACTGGGGATCCCCACCACCACTACCCCCAGCTTCCTGGGCTGAGCTGAAGTTCTAGCAGTGGCTGTGCTCCTCCATGCCCATAGCTCCAGGCTCCCACCCTGGATCTCAGGCCTAGGGATGGCAACTCCTTCCTGCTGTACTGAGTCTTTAGGTAGGTATCTCTCCAGCCCTGACTGGTTTTTCTAAACCTGCCCACATCTCTGCCAAGAGTCATTACATTCTCTTCTATTATATTCTTGAGGGTGTCAGGGCCCTGACCGATACAGTCACCAACAAAGCAGAGGTACTGTCCCTTCCCAAAAAGAAAGAGCTGATGTCATCTCTAGTCTGTGGATGAGATTTCTAGTTTGTTTCAAAAATAAAATTTTATTTTAACTTTTAGTGTTTTTAATGTCAAGGTGCGTATTGTAGGGAACAGAGAGTAGGATAGGACTGCCTGAAATCAGGCTTTCCTTCCCCCTCTGGACCCAAATGACTGCTGTTAGTAAGGTCTTTTCCTCACAGCTTTGTAAATCTTTCTTTACTTGTCTGTCTCCCCTCTGTAAGAATATGAGTCCATCCATCCATCCATCCATCCATCCGTCCATCCATCCACCCAACACATGTTTACTGTGCACCAACTGTGTGCTATTTACTGTGTTAGATGCTGGGGTTTATTTTTTATTTATTTATTTTTTACTTTTTTAAAGATTTATTTATTTATTTATTCATGATAGATGTAGAGAGAGAAAGAGAGAGGCTGAGACACAGGAGGACGGAGAAGCAGGCTCCACACCAGGAGCCCGACGCAGGACTCGATCCCGGGACTCCAGGATCGCGCCTTGGGCCAAAAGCAGGCACCAAACCGCTGAGCCACCCAGGGATCCCCCCAGATGCTGGGGTTTAAATGCTGTGGTGAGGTATAGGCTCTGTCCTCATGGAGCACACAGTTCAGGTCAGGCAGGCAAGTAAACAATTATTATGTAGTGCAGCAATTGAAATAATTGAGGTTTAAAGTATGTTTCAGGTGACGTCAGAAAGACATCAGGATCATTCATTGGGCTGGAGGAGCTGAGGAAGCTGGGGCTAACTCCAAAGGGATGGGTTGGTCTATACTGAGTAAACACCAATGGAAATAATGTTCTAGGCAGAGGGAATTGGATGTGTGCACAGGAGCACAAGAAACAGGCTGAATTCAGAGAAATGCCTGCAGTACTGGCATGAGCTACAAAGTGAGAAGACTGAACCTGTAGAAGTAAGCATGATCCAGGTCAGAAGGGATCTGAATGTTCTGGCTAAGGAGTTTGAACTTGATCTATAGATGACAGTAGGCTAGGTGTCCTCTGTTCCTTAGCTTCCCTGATTGTTCCCA